CTTTGAGCAGTTCCGATAATCTTTTTCTTAGAGACGGTGAAACCGGACTAGCACGTTTTAATAACTCTGCTTGTTCGAGTGGCATGGCCTGTGCGATCGCAAAGAGAGCTCGCTTCGAAAGAACTGATTGCACACCCTCATCTTCCGTCCGCGCTGTCTGGTCGCGCCACTGATGCACCGCTCTGAGAACAGATATTTGTTCACGACTCATCAGACTTGATCCCCGAGCTAGAATATCATACCATCCTCCCGCACCTTGTCCGGTTTCCGTGTCGTAAACAGGCCGCTCGTATCGCTGAAGTGCCTCCTCCTTGGAATTCTCCTGAACATAGTCGATTAAATTCTCACCGGGAGTTGACCTTTCAATAAGCTCATTGCGCAGATGATCATAAATATAAAGCAAATAGTGCGTGTCGGATCGCGCGTAGTCAAACATGCCGGGTAGTAAAGGCCGAACTCGCCAATCTGCGATCTGATACTTTTTCTCCGCCTGAAAGTTCACAAACTTATCTAACAGAAACTTCAAGCTTTTCTTCGGGTAATGCAGAGCAGCAGCAGCGTGGTACGTGTCGAAAAGACCAACCAGATACAGCCCTAAGTCCCGTTGTAGCCATATTACGTCCATCGAGGAGCCATGCAAGACTTTCACTATCTGCGGATTTGCGAATACTTCGTTGAGTATTTGTAACTCTTCTCTCCACGGGAGGAGCGTGTCAACGATCCAGTCTTTGTCACGAGTGCTAATCTGCATGAGACAAACAAGGCCATAATACGAATGCGTATCGTGATGCTCCAGATCGATGCCAATTTCTTTTGCGCATTTCAGTTCCTTAAGCATCGCCTGGACGCCTTCCATGGTATTTACAAACGTCGCGGATGTCGATTCAAAAGGCTGATACATCTGAGGTTCGGACTTGTAATAGACAGATGGGGGATATCGGCAGTTTCGGATCTCGTGCGCATAGGGGTGTTCAGATCTAGAAAGAGGAAATACCGTCAACATAGTCCTAAATGAAAATTTCGAGATAGGCTAGAACTTACGGCTCTGTGCCAATGCCGGCGGCCGGGTCGGGAGATAGAGGTAACGAGACAATGGCATGGGGTTTTTGTCGCAAGATCGGTCGAAACGGAGAAGAGTCATGATTATTAGGACGATTGTTGAACGAGAGCTGTGGCTTCGGTAATTTGGCCGAGGAAAAATCGTAGACACTTGGAAACTGGCTTCTGGAGGCTCGTTTGCTAAAATCTTGGCCACGCTCATCTTGCGACGGGGTCAGTTTTTTGATAACCCCAGTGAATTCATCAAGGCAGGCATCAGCCTTTTCCAAGAGCTCGTCAATGACATCGACCACCGCTCTCCAATTTTCGTCCACGGTTTCCTCGTCTTCCAGAGTCGCAACATTGAGGTCGGAACTCGAGGTGGCAAAGCGAAGGATCGAATTAGTAAGGGTAAGAAATCGGCTACTCTGCTCGTCAAGGGAACTCGAGAGGCTCGGGTTAATCGAGCGCTGAAAGGCGATATCTTCCGCCAGAAGCTGGGAGGTGGTTTTCGTAGCTTGCACAAGAGCGGTTGTTAATCTCTCCTGAAAAGGAGTAAACTCCGCTGAAATGTCCATTGAATGGACCAGCAAGGAAGGTCGGACAGGTGAAGACAAAAGTGAACCAAAAGCCACAATGACGGACAACAACAAGGAAACGAACGGAGGATGTCAATTAAATCCAGTGATTGAAGGAAACAAAACCAAAAAAGCTGCACCGGGGAACCTAGACCAAAAGGGAGTTAGCGCCACAACTCTAAATCAACCGCAAATCTTCACATCGTCATGAAATCTCCATCAATTCACGTTCTCGTTTAGTTCTTAGCGCTGTCTGGCCCAGCATCCAGCAAGGTATAAATACCCCATTGCCCGCCCTTGTAGCTTGAGTCTCGATCTCGCAAACATCGATCATCATGTCTGCCTCTCTTGCTCCCGAATGCAACGAACTCAAAGAGTAAGCCTCACGGCCCGTGCCTCAAACGCCATATAGCATCTCAGAAACTGATGGCTCTTAGGCGCTACGACTCTTGTTTTCTGAAATGGTACAGCGAGAGTAGGTGTCTCTGCCGGGGTTGGCTTTGAGAATGAAGCCAGGGCCAAAGGCTGACGGTCTATAGAGTTCCTCCGCGGCAACTCCTCCAGCAACGATTGTGAAAAGGTTTTTGAGGAGTATAAGAAATGCCTTTCGGTATGTCTTACCTGAAAACGCCACGTCTGAAGATAATAACTAAGACGTTAGCACTAGAAAACGTTGAAAGAGCGCGGCATCGACACCATGTTGGAAGACGCTCGCAAGAGCAGCAAGGAGAATGACGAACATCATATGAAAAGATCCTGTATGTATCAAAATATAGTCATGTTAGCTGCAGCTATGCTAATTTTGTTCACAGAATATTTGTTCCATATTGTCTTTGTAGGAAAATGCCAGGAGGTTTTTTAATTGTGGGTGGGTTGGACCCGTGTGTTCTTACCTTCACCACAGGCGGTCTTTTTTATCAAGCCTCTCGAGGAACTCGAGGGCCTGATCGATGACCCGCTGGTCGTCAGGGTGTGTCGCTTTCCCGTAGTGACGATAGTCGTCCAGGGCGTCAGCGAACGTTCGGTCTCCCTTGGCGCGGTCGAGTTTTGGTTTGAGCGCCTTGTTATATTGAGATTCGAGGTCCTTGGCGGTTCGCCCTCTGCCCTCGAAAGCCTTCTCGTGCTCGCCACGGATCTCTTCCCAACTCCAGTTGGTCGCAAGCCTCATGGCAGCAAGGAAGATTCTCTCTTCCTCCGTCCACTTGGTTGGCTTTTTGGGAGGGTTCTTCTCCTTGGCTGGCTTGCTGGCAGGCTTCTTGGTCGCAGGCATGGTGGCAGTTTTGGTTTGTCTTGTTGGACAGGTGAGGCTGTGGTTGCTGCTGGGGGAGGTGGCAGTGATGGTGGGAGTGATGGTGCTGTGGATGAGGGGGTTCAAAAGAGAGAAACAACAGAACTGGCTGGTTGGAGCATTTTTATATTGCCCAGCAATTGCCGCTCTGGTCACTGCGGCACTCTGCGCCGCAGTGCTATCTTTTTCCCAATCGGGCTTCTTGCCGTTGTGGTTTCTGCGCTGTGCAGCGCAGTTAGGGCTCAATATTTATGAGCCCACGTTCTGTTCTTTCTTTTTCTTTCCTCTTCCTCTCCTCAAGCTCCCCTCTAGCACCACACTCCCCCTCACTGTCACCTCACTTTCTTTCACTTTTTTAAAGGAATCCCAGCAGCTCAACCACAGCCATCAGTTCCTCGTTCTTGCACGCAAGATGGGCTTGGTTCGGACTAGATTTGTGCCGATCCAGAATGACCGGTTTCTGGTCACCCTCAAGCTGCTGACGCAGATGTCCTGGCAACAAATCATCGACGCGTACAACAAGCAATTTGGCGAGGCCGCTTTGCCCGGAGATGCTAGGAATCGGTGGGCAAGGCAGCTTAAGGCGAACTCTTTCAGAGACTCGCTAGAAAATAACGGCGAATTGCAGGAGGGTGAAGTGGCGGATGCGGTTGAGTTCCTTCGGGTTCATGGTTTGGGCCATCTCAATAGCGAGGGCGAACGGTTCCTGCTCACTCACTCCGACACATTATCGAATGATGTCGAGTCTCTGCCTGCTCCTTCAGTGGCTTCCGCTCCACTAGCTGCCGCCTCCACTTCCCAAGAATCTCCCAACATTCCTAGGCGGACACTGTTGATGACGGATCCCCTTGTCCAGCCTGCGACACAGCTGCCCTATGTTCCCGAACTTTCGCCGCTTGAGCAGATATGGTTTTCGGCAACTGGATACAATCCCTACCAACACTTCCTTGGTCCTTGTTATCAGCCAAATTCGGTGGGAGAGGCATTGGCGGCGGAGATGCCCAGGAATCCCGAGTTTGGATTCGACTATTCAACGGAGTTCGTACCCGAGTTCGAATCGGAAGTGCCGGCGGAGCCTGTCGACTCGCAGCTCCATTTTCAAAACGATACTCAATTCTCCGCGACTGAGCGCTAACAGACCAATGGTTTGATACCTGGACCGATCTCGTATGCAAGGCTGGTGACATACGAGTCACATCTCGGTTACTGCCTCACAGCGCCCGCAGATGTAACGGAAAGTCGAACACATTATTGCCGACATGTGCGTCTCTGGTAACTCACTTGACACTCCTGAGCAAAACATCCGGGCTCCAACTGATGGGGTACGAAACGTCAAAGGGTAGATCGTGTCACCTCCCCTCCACTACCCCATGGAGCACATGGGCCGTGTAACAAGAGCGTCGGACTATGCTACCTTGGTATGCCATACAAGAAGATCATGACAAGATCTTTGATCCGCATACGCGAGAACTCGAGATTATTCCGTCCCACGGTAAATATTCAACCAGTTTTCCGCTTTTAGAAGACGTCAACGAAATCGGCACAATTGCTTGAGCGCAATAAGATGAAAACCCCGAATATATTTTCCTGAAGCAGTGAAAGCTGAATTGGCCCATAAGGGCGTGCAACTACTAGCATTTTGTTTATCGACGCGTTAAGAGACACAAAGCTTCGAAGCGGCTCCGAAATATTACGAATCCTCAAATGCTGACGACGTTACTCAAGACCGGAGGAATGGAGTATAATTCGGGAATGCAACTGTCCGGATGGTGATTATTTTTGGACTTATGGACTGCTATTCTTTACCAATATATTCGGGGCCGACCGCACCGCTGCTTGGAAGCACATCCAAGAATGGCGTCGAATGCCATAGCTAAATTTCCGTTTTCAATCATTAAGTTGAACGCAAAGCATACGGTCAGAACTATGGTACGAATGTTCGAGCAAAGGTCGAGATACCTGGGTCGCATATCGAAGGTCGAAAATTCTATATTGGCTCCGTCGTGTTGGAAGAGGTCATCGTTCGTGATGTTGTTATCCAAGCCTACAGGATTTGCTCCTTTCCTCCATGTGTGCATATTCGTTAGTGAACTATGCTTTCCTTATGAGAAGGATTTTTTAGCCGTCGCTTCATCTAATATCAAAACCCTTAATAATTTTCTGTCTACAATTGAAATCAAGTCATTTTTCGAGAAACTCGAAGAGCTTAATTATTGGTTTAGGTTATAGATTCAACATAGACCTAGTTCACCCCCTATTTCTCCTTCTCTCAGCGCTGGCAAATCCACTGGGGATTCTAGGCAATCCACCTCCCACGCCCCCAACTCCGCCCATCCCACCTGCTCGTATTGTAGCTCCCTTGTCGGTTAACCTTGACCACACTTCACTAATCCCAACTCGCCGAGCGGGGAGCATACTGTACTGTAAACTGTACATGTTTCGACGATGAATGGGCGGCACAAAGCGGCCCGTTACCAAACAAAGAATGACACGTGGGGAGAGGTAATGTTTCCGGAGACGGTGGCCGAGTTGAAAGTATTGCTCAAACATGGAGCGGAGGGAAAGCGGAACGGGCTGCTCGGTGATGGCGTTAGCTGGTTGATCTCGGAGAAGAGCAATAAGATTCATCGCGCCGAAGCTTAGGGATGGAGTGACAAACCTGAAGGTTGATGTAGGAGGTAGGAGCACAGCGGAAATCGTCGTCTGAAGGCAATGGGGCGTGTTTGTGGAGTTCGAATTTGATTCCCCCTGTATCGAAATATGTTAGTAAAACGATCCATTCATTGATTTCAAACGATTGCTTACCAGGCAAGCGCCGCGAGTCCTTCAAGCGTAGCATGAGGGCGAATAAAGGGAAATGGTTTAAAACAGCAAGGCACGTGTCCAGCGTAGCCTTAAGCGATATTATGGCCATACGGGCGGAGGCAAAAGTGATATAGAATACAAGTATAGTAGGGAGCAAGAAAAACAAGAGCGTGAACAGGATTGTTCCAAGGAGCAATTGGTCTAATTCGTAATCGCAGGAGTCTATTCGGTTTCGTAGCACGTTTCGTTTTCGACCTCGAAAAAGATGAAAGAGGGATATTATAATTGTTAGTTGCCAGTGAAATATGCGCGCAGAAGCCGTGTAAAAAGAGTAGATGTGGATGGTGAAAAGCGAGAGGAGGTCAGAGAACATTGCTAGCGCCATGCTAGCTCCAGCAAATCCAGAGCAACCGATCATATAGATGACATGGCGGTAGAAGGGGCGTAAACCAGCCAGTGCGCCTAAAAACATTGTTAGCAACGCTCAGTATGAAATTGAAAGTCTGATAAGAAACTTACTAGCCCAATATTCTATAACCCATAGAAACAAGTCTCCTAAGAACGCGGCTAGTTCATTATTGAGTTTTAGACCTGCTGGCCAATCCATCAACCAGGAGATTGTCTGCTGCAAGCCCTCTACTGTTGAGCCATTGAGGATCGCATTCATTTGAGACGCAACCCAGTCAGCATTATCAATGAGATACGAGCCAAGTGCAATCCCGATGATCACATCATTTGCAACAAGCCAGAGGCTATTGTAGAATCGGATGTAATCCGGATGACTGTGAGTAACACTCTCCCAGTCATTCTTTCGTTTGCGCAAAGTCAGATATTGTATTGGCCAGTAGCAGAACTGTTGAAGTCGAATGTCTATTTGCTGCGCAGTAGCGGAAATATCTTTTAAAGCTGCCGCGTCTGGGCGAGCACGCCATTCCAAAACAGTCAAAACAACCTCAGCTATAACCCGATGAACAATGATTGCTGTAATGAGGCCTTGCTTGATGATCGGATAAATCCAGACGGTAAAAGCGTAAGATATCCCCAAGACGGCGAGGTCCCAAGCTGTCGTAGCTGATTCCACCACCCGTTCACTGACACTTAGGCTGCGCTTTGGACGAGTTCCAATCAATCCAATATTGCTCTGAAGGAGTCGGTCTACTTCAAATGCACAGTTGATTTGATTGACAATCGCTGAAAGGGAATGCTCCTTGGGGGTGGGCAGGTGCTTAACCACCGTGTGTAATTTCAGTTTGTTGACGAGTTTTGCTGATTGCGCTTTTGATGCTTCCTCTGCTGCATCAACGTCCCCTAGCTCCCCACTGGCTGTGTCCACGCTGGTACGTTTATCGCTTAGCACGAGGCACATCGGGTAGGGAGACATGTATTGCATGCGGGTCGGATGTGGCCGCCGAAACAGTATAACTTGTATAGAGAGCTTCGTCTCCGGTGGGCAATATATCCGAGGAACCTTCGAAGGGTGATTTGTCGTCGCATGGATATGTGACGGAGTGAAAGCCGTTGGAACTTCTGCTGCATTCGTAGAACCGAGGACATGCAGCGCGGGTCTTCCGCAGAGGCTGAAGAGTCGAGAGATCGGATGGGGGCTGGTACGATATAATATCCCCGCCCGTAAAGCGTTATCGACATTCCGGGGCTAGTAGATTGGATGGATGCCTTAGATATAGCTGCCCTTGACGGAGCACAAGTTAACTAAACGTACCTCGACATGTTCTAGCACCGAGACGACGAAAAGGTCAAATTCGGAATTTCTCCAGCCCACAATCACACCGGGAGCGGTAGACCTGGCAAATTCATATGGCCAGAATACCCGTAGTAATCCATCATTCATAACCATGCTGTCATTATTCCTCCGATTAAAAGGAACCTCGCCGCCGCAACTGTTCCCTAGCGGAGATCCCGTGGCTTACGGATCGGGGGTGCTAGCGCAACGGTAAGTAAACGGTCAAAAGGTCGCATGGTCAGGGCTCGAAGATACCCAATTAATCTCCTGAGTGACAACTGCGTTGATCGGGATGAGGAGTAAAAAGTAGAATACGGAGAGGACGAAGAAGCCTTTCGTTGCTCGGGCCTAACGCTCGAGAAAATCCCGCCTGTCAGTTATCGCAAGCCAATAGTGAGAAGAATCTTGTTCGGAACCCACGACAACACCGTGATCCCAAGCAAAAATAGCCAGTTCGTAAAGCCGGGTGACTAGATCCCACCGCGCGGTGATGTACCCAGCTACGAAGATGCTGAACGCGAAGACTGAAAAAGGGTGCATGAATCAAGGATTGCGGGTGCGCATGCTCAGAAAAATTGATTCGGAGCACAGAGGTTTGGAAAACCCAACTGCAATCCCCTTGAAGGCAGCTTGAGGCTCCAAAACGCTGGTGGAAAGCAGACAGTCTGAACTGTGCATTCAAAAGTTGAGATTCGGAGGAGCCAAGCAAAGCAACCGCCGCAACCACGAAGCTGGACGGGAGTCCTTAAAAGCAATGAAACATCTAATTTACAACACAAGATGACCATAGATTGTTTTTCAATTATATTAATTTAGGACTGGATTTATGGTATCTTCGAACGCCGAGCTACTTTATAAACACAGATTGCGCCCTTGCCGGGCAAACTCCTTACTCCATCCAAGGCACATTTGTATCCTTACAGGGCCTTGATATCTTGAAAGACCTTATTTACCTTTAGCAAGTCGTCTGCCTGTACTAGATCCCTCATCAATTGTCTCTTCTCTTCCGTTGTCATATTCTCATTCCCTGGAGCCTCCACCTGGGCTTTCCACTTGACAAGCATAGCTTTAAGTAATGAGCTTCCTTCCGCAACTTCTTCGCAAGAGTACTTATCAAGATCCATAGAGTCTTCTCCCTTTTCGGCCGTCGAGTTGGTAAAATCTTCCAACTCTTCAGCTTTCTGGCGTGCCATATTGACCACTTTCTCCGGGAAGCGAACCAATTCGGCCACATGTATACCGAAAGACTGATCGCAGACCCCTGGCTCTACTCGGTATAGAAGCGTAACCTCTCGTTTCTTCTTGCTTGGTGTGCCGTTCTGGGTTTCGCTAGAGCCATCACCAATGAACGCAACGACGTGAAGGTTCTTGGCCGATTTGGGGTACCGCTCCTCGAGGGCTGTGAGCTCGTGGAAATGGGTCGCGAAGAGGCCGAAGCATCGAATCTCGGCGACGATGTGTTCAGAGATGGCCCAAGCCAACCCGAATCCATCATATGTACTCGTCCCACGGCCGAGCTCGTCGATAATTATCAATGATTCTGACGTTGCCGTCTTTAAAATGTTGGCGGTTTCCAGCATTTCGGCCATGAAGGTTGAGACGCCTTTGAGCTGAGAATCACTCGCACCGACACGAGCCAGAATGCAGTCGAATATCGTGAGTTCGGCTTCTGTACATGGCACGAAACAGCCGGTCTGAGCCATGAGCGCAATCACACCTATTTGTCTAATGTAGGTCGATTTACCACCCATATTGGGGCCCGTGATTATAAGAAACGAAGACTCGTCCCGAATGAGAGAGACATCGTTGGTTATGAAGGAAATATCGTCTTGCATTTCCATGCAAGGATGGCGGGCCTCCTTGAGAATGGTATTGCCTGTACCACGGGGATGGACCTTCGGCCGAACGTATGGTGTAGGGGCATGGACGGATACATGGGCGAAACTCACAATCACATCTAGATGTGCCAATACACCTGCTAGTTGTTCAAGCAAAGGGCAGTATGATGCCGCAACGTTGACCACTTCATTCACAAGCCCCGTTTGGGTCCGGTTATAGTTTTGTGACAATTGATCATGCTCCCGCCGGAGAGATTGCATTGTAGATGTTGTGAAATAAACACCGTTTTTCTGGGTTGAACACTCCTGGTACTCTCGCTTGTTTCGTATACAACCAGCTTCCTGCCCGAAAGTTAGCCCTGTATTCAGAATGATAAGCACCAAAAGCGTACATTTCGGGTCAATCTAAAACACCATCCATGAACTCTGTGGTTTTCGAGGAAAAGTTTCTTTTCGATATCTTGATTCAAATCATGGCCAACATGCTTGTGCTCAGCATCCATGTCATGCCTCAGTCTGTCCAGCTTTTTTCTTATTGTCCGCAGGCTTTCGTCGAATTCAGGCTTGATAATGAATTCGTGATGATCCAAGGCTTCTAGATCAACCGTTGTTTCCACCATTTCCGCCAGTTTTCCAAAACTGTTCGAAAGGTTACGAATCTTAGAGGTATATTCCGTTTCCAGCGGCTCCTGGTACTGCTCATCCATGACGGCTTCAAGCGTATTGATAAATCCAGGGAGGCGGATCACAACTTGATAGATCCTGACAACATCTTCAAGATTCGCCACGTTTCGCTGGAATTTCTTCGCCAATCGATAGAGATCGGGTATGGATCTAAGGTGGTCCTCCTGCATCGTCTGTCTCAGGTCCGTATCAGAGACAAAGGCTTCGACTAATTGTTGCCGCTTTTCAATATCGTTGTGATTCATCAAAGGCTGCTTTAGCCATTGCGCAAGCAGTCGGCCACCGACAGGAGTTTTGCAGTGGTTCAAAAGACCGTATAAACTCATGCTTTTGGCCCCATCACGCGGGCCAGGCATTAGATTTAAGGCCCTAAGCGCAGCTGAATCCAATTTCATGTACTGGGAGAGATCGTGCTGGTAGAGTTGATATTGGCCAAAGTTCGACGGATCCGACATGGCACCGAGATATTTGATTAAAGCCGCAGCAGACCCCATAGCCAGTTTCAAATCAGTTTGTGGTAAAGTTCCGGTAGCATGCTCGTTTTTCAGCAGCCTCGCTAGGTCCTGATCAATATCCCTCGTCGCAAAGTCCGATGCTGGCCTGCTTGAAATCGCAATCCCACAACTATCCGCAATAGACCTTATCTTGGCTAGTTCGATATCTTTCTTTTGTCCGTCCGCAGTAACCAGGCATTCTTTAACTCCCAATTGAATGACCAAGGATTCAAAGTTCGAATAGAGGTCGTTATCATCGAATTCGCTCACTCCCAGCTCCCGCACACTCGCATCCGCAAAGCAAACGCCCACATGCCTCGTCTCAGATGCCTTTGCGGAGATCTTAACGGCGAGAATAATCGGCGACGTATCCATCATTCCGCCTGCCGAGCCTAATTCGTCCTCCACGTCCTGCAAGTTCCCCGGACTCGCCTGCTTGGCCAGCTTCCAGGCACCTTTGCCCGCTCCACCCTGAGATGACCATATCTCTAGCCGCATGCTCAAGCGGAAAAGCGCTTCCCGTAGGAAATTCCGGAAGACAGTTACCGTCATCGTGACAGATGGCAAACCACTTGTATCACTCCGCCCTAACGTCCGCAGCACCGATGTGGTTTTGTAGACTGTACGTGCGATATACTCTGCATCCGAGCCATGAGCCGTGTACCAGTCACCCCGGTCAAACACTCGAACTGTTGCGGAGTCATCTTTTGGAGGGAGGGAGCGGAAAAATCGAATGAAACCGACTTCGTCGTCGACCTAGAGGAACAATTAGATGGGAAGGTTTTGGAGGCAATCAGTATACAAGTTACCTTAAGTTCCGGTCTCGATGACATCTTCTGCTCAAACCCTTGCCTGTTCGTTTCTTGCAATCCATCCTCCTCTGAGGCCGAGTTTTGACGCAGTAAAATGGACGCGACGCGTAAATTGATCACGTGGATTGGCGTTGAGTCCAGAGTGAGCGCTGAGGGCCAAATCGTTCTAGATAAAAGCTATGATGAACTGCAATAATCATGCCGGCTTGCTAATAGTACAATCTTTCGATATTTCAGTTATGAGAATCTCATCCAAAACGCCATCGCTTATGCTAACTATTCCTTGTCCAGAACCGTTTGCCAGAACCTCGACGGTTCATGCATTGCTTGTCGAAAAAAAAAGTTTCCAAAACCTCATCCAAAAACTTTTATATTCCTAACTTGTCAACCTTAACTTTAATATCTTGCGGAGAGATATTCTTCGACGACCTTAATATCACCGACTTCGTCGAGGCCACTGGCACCATCGTGACCCAACCTCCCGAAACCTCAGATTTGGCTAGAATCTCCAAACTCATTGAAATCTCAGATTTAGAAACGGGATTCTGCATCGAATCCTGAATCATCTGAACCATCGTCTCCAGTTTGTAGGCCTTTTTCATATGCGAAGGAGATATTTCTAAGTCTGATGAGGCTGAAGGTGCCAATCGAAGAAGCACGTTTACAATGTCCGAGGTACGCGCCGCCGCTGCACGTCGCATGGCCGTTTCTTTAGATACTGGTGGTGTCAGAGTAGATTGGCGCAGTGCCTTACTCTTTATTCTCTCCAAAAGGCCGTTCCTTCGTTCCGTCGTGCAAGACTTGTGCAAGGGCCCCTTTTCCTGAACGAATCCCATCGCTTTTGGTGCTTTTAACCCAGTTAGCCTTATTTCGGATGCTTTCTGTTGTTTGATCGAAAACAAGGTTTTCGGAATTTTGTAGATTGGCTCCAAGGGAATGTCGCGCATGCAGTTGAAATCCGACACAGCCGTGCTTTTTTCTAGCCAAATCTGTTCTAAATTGTCTTCGAATTTCGCGTTCAGTTCATCTTCATTAAGCGGTGCATAAGACGAATTCCCAGATTGGTTCGCCTGAACTCTTTCGAGTAATATTCGCACTCCATAATCGATAAGTCTAGAGTGGACAGAGATTTTGTTTCCGTCCCCAGTGTTCTGCACATATAATAGCCTCCGAATGTCCTCTGTCGTCACTTTACGTTTTTTCCATACTCGCTCCATATTGGGGAGGAATACTGTAAGGTCCACTGGCGCGATAAGTCCATTGTGGGCAAAATGTAGCGATAATGCGTGTAGAAAGGAAGAATAGAGAAAGACCAGTTCAAGATATGACGATGGGCGGTTGCAATTCTCGGGTTGCTCTGGTTCGACTTCTGACTTTGTCTGGGTCGGGACTATGGTCTGACTTTCGTCCCGTTTGCAATTCGGGGTATCAACTGTAGAATGAGATTCTATCACGAGATTCTGATCGATCGCATCAGACGGCTTGGAGACGAGCTTCGAAACAGCTGTTCCGAGTTTAGGAACCTTCAATCCTCCCCCAGGCCGGTTCTCAGGAGTGACCTCTTCGACATCCGTATGTTGTAGTTTCCGCTTGAGAGTCGACGGAGTCTCCTTGCTCGCAATTGACCCTACTCCCGCGTTGGCCTTTCCTGCTCGTGTGAATCCCTGAATGCCCGCCTGCTTCGTTTTTGCTGGTGGAAGGTGAGATCCAGCTTGTTTCGGAGTGCGACTGCGAAGGGTTCTCGTAGCCATGGTGGCGGCTTGCTTTTTAAAATATATTCTATTTAGATATGGAAGCGGTAACCCATTGAACGTGAGAAAGCGATACTGGCATTGAACGCAAATGGAGCGTTTCGATAGTTTCGCGTTCATTGGATTTCCCGTTACGCGTTGAGATCGCGTCGCGCGTCGGCGAGCTGTTCGGCCAATCATGAAGCCCACACGCGGCAACTCAGTGTCAGCTGCGGAGCACTGACGTCATTCCTCAGAGCATCGAATTCTCACATAGAAAGATAGTAATGCGTGTATTCAGACTGCTAAACTTCAATTGACACCAATTACAATTTGCAAACATGAAACGACATGCAGTCATATACAATCACATAGAAAGAGAGCCGTAGCGCATTATTTTCCTAATAGCTGCTAGGAAACGTGGATGTCGCTAGACTGTCCGATCGATACTTCTCAGGTAATGTACGGCGAACACCCGAGAATCGACAGGACTGCACGTTTTTTAACAAACGAGACTTGATAGTAATTCCAATTTTCGTCGGCATCATTTCCCCCATTAACAAGCCCGGAGTGCGGTCCCAGATTCCTTATTTCTTCCCACTACCGAACCATGACGAAATACCGCTCTTGGCATCTTCTGCCTTCCTCTCGACATCCCGTTCTAAATTGTCGACTTTCTGGTGGAACTCTTTGGCGGTGTCCTGACGGGCCCTTTCGAAATCATTGGCCTTATCCTTCGCAAAATCCGTGGCGCGTTGATCTAGACGCTTAGCAGTGTCACGGGCTTGGTCGATCTGTGTCGTTGACAGCGTCAGCAAGCTAGCTCTAAAATCGCCAACATGAGAGCAATTAGATGCTTACTCCTTCATCAACCCGGGCTCCAGCTTTGGCTCCGGCCTGTTGTGCGTCTTTGTCATAATCGCCTCTGATCTTGTGCTTCGCCCTGGAGGCATCATCTAAAAACTACATTAGCATGCCGGAACCAAACCCGGTTGCACATTTATTTCGATCATCTTCTCACCTTCAAACTTTTGCGTAGCCTTTTTAGGGTCTCCGCCAGCAGAGTATAGATAATAACCGCCAGCACCTGCAATACCCAGGCCTATCCACATGGGCATACGCGATTTGGCCGCCATGATGTAAAGGTATACGCGATCGATAAAGGTATAGTAGATGAATGCGCCTAGTACCCTTTGAAGAATCGATGAAAGTTACTCAACTTAATTGATGAGGAGCAGAAAAGTGACCTCCAAGACGGTACTTATATTGTGGCCTCAAGCTGAGGGGGAGACTGGACCAGGATCGCCATTATTTAACCGTCATTGTCACCTCCAGCTCAGAGTTCCAAGCAAACGGTTGGCGATGACGTTAGAGACCATCGAGACTTCCAAGTAAACTGCAACTTTGGTTGGCTGCACGTGATGGCAATTGATGACTCCGCAGAATGTCGTAATTGCATATCTTTTGGTATATGATCAGATTGGCACTATTTTAGCCAAAGCACTAATACTATTAGCTAGGATGAGTGATTTGGGCCATGAAGAAATATCCCTTCATCATTCATGGTGCCTCAAGTTGAACCACGTGAGTTGAATTCCCCGTTGGGGGTTCGTCATCGTAAGATCTTTACTCCGCTGCAAATGAAGGCCAAGGAATGACGATTATGGCGGCAGTGGATACATCATCATGAGTTGAACTTATCACTAACAACAATGATATCAATGTATGTGCGTTGAGCAGTCAAAATTACTCCGGATGGTGTTGGAAAACAATTGTCGGCTGACCAAACTCTTAAAGAAAGTGAAGGGAAAACACGCTTAGTTATAGTATCTTGGTTCATCAAAAACATGATACCGATGTCCACGGACGCCGTTGCCACGGAACAGAGCTGGGAAACGCATCCCAACGGGCATCTGCTCCTCAGAAATACGCTGACTCGTTCCCTCCGGTTGACCGACGACAAATTTTCCAACCTACGATAACTGTTAGCATCTGAACGAGGATAAGGAAGATAGAGCCGTTCATACCTGGAGTTCAGTGTCGGTGATAGTGCCGCGGCTCACTCTAGCATACCCAACCCGACGAATTCTCTTGTAGAGAATATACTCACACCAGCGATCCCAGTCGCTGGGATCAATGTCCTTCATTCCGCTAAGTTCGCTCACATATGTGTTATAGTTACCCTCGAGCGGTTTTGTGACGAGATAGCTGAGTAAAATCAATGGTCTCGGCGACTCGCCCATCAATTTCGAGAGATACTCTGTTTGAAGCCTGCGATCCTCAGGATCTTCCTCCTGGCCAGAATGGAAAACAACAACATCCACATGCTCTCCGTACATATCTAAAGTGGCGTGAATGGCAGGCGCAAGCTCGCCAACCGGCGAAGGCAGCAGGTGGTGAGTGGAGTTAAGAATTGGGAATTTCGAAAGCAAGGCGCATCCCCACGTATGCTTGTTTGGACCCGGGCCATAGTCGACATACATTCCAAGGTCTTCGGCGAGGTATTGAGTTGTGTCTCTGTTGCCCATAATGATTCGCTGGAGGTCGGATTCCAGCAAGCCCACCACATCAAGCTCCAAGTCCTTAATGGCATCACGCATGCGCTTTTCTGACGACCACATATCATTGTCTAGCGAGAAGTGAACAGTCCAAATTCCTGCTGTGACGAGTTTTTCTTCCTTATGGTATGGTGTATAGTCGTTTGTTGGGAACCGAAGGTAAGAAGTAGTAAAAGAAATCAGTTGCAGGACAGCAAGGCAATAATAGTAATAAGACCGTTGTTTTTTGTTGAAGAGCGCCGCTTTCTTGTTCTTGGATAAGAAAGGTGATTCCTTCGACACAGAAGCAGAAAAAACTCCGGCTCCAATGAGGAGCATGGTGGTGGCCATAACCCAGTCAGTATGCTCTCTCACGAGTGGACCTCCTGGGACGAAGGCGTATGCGACCACCCAAACATGGAAAAGGACCATGAAATTGTAAATCAGAAATCCCAAGCCAAAGGTTTTTGCAGGAGAATGTCGCACCGCAGAGCGGATCAGAACTGGAGCAACAGCCATAAGGTAGATCGACAAGGTAACGGCGCCTGAAAAGCCTCTCCAGTGCGAATAGCATGTCAGCGTAGCCGCCCCGACTGATCCCAGGCCGAAAGCCACCCAACTTCCAGAAAAGCGAGGATAATTTAAGCCGAAAACCGCGCCAGCTCCCATAGCAAGGATTGTAACTGAACCATGCGGCACGGCAATCGGTCCCCTAACTGGGAAGCCTTCCCATACCCAGGATATCATGGTACTAGAGTCTGATAGAAGCGAGTGCAGAGCAAAGAAAAGACCGCCCAGGCCCATGGCGGCGAGAAGAGAGGGGCCCTTTTTGCCGTTTGAAGCGAAATAATCGACCATATTGTTTTTGGCCCGAGTAGATCGCAACACAGAGAACACCGCAAGACCGAAAGCGGTCTTATTCCATCCACCATTTCCTGGGTGGAGAATAGGCCAAATTGGATTGTTAGTATGGAATGCGTATTTCGCGATGCTAGAAGCAAGCAACCCGATAGTCCAGGCGATAACACGAGCCTCTAGGCGTGCCGGTTGGGTACGTTCCGAGTACCAAGTGGCGGTCCACGCCAAGCAGCTCGTGGACACGGCGAATCCAACGGTGAAAAGGCGGAAGACGGGATGGTGGATGTTGTATGCGAGGAGTCCGGCGAGAGCTAACAAATGCAGATACCGAACGTTTTGGATCGCAAACGATTGCAACGCCGGGATCGCTAGAAAGAATGGTGAAATAGTGCTCATGACAAGCAGTTCGTAGCCTGATATCCCCATGTTCCATAAGGGGAAGTCTAATGCAAATTTAGATGGCGCCGTTTATGTTCAATTAGAGAAGCAGACTCACACCACACCAACACCCCGAGAGACGTAAGGATGGACCAGAAGACAAACTAGTGATTCGATTAGTCCAGGTTGGCGTGAACAAGGGGCTTGACTTTTACCCACCCCATTGTAAATATCTGCGGCAGCGTCGACGGCTTCGGAAAAGAAGAAACCTTCTCCAAGGGAGTGTCGAACGGAAACACTCTTTCTATGGAGTTGATCAGTGACAATTTCGGACATGGGTTTTTAATGAACGTATATCGTACTCTTTTTCAATAACGGCATCTCTGGCTGTCTTTGCTGACCTGCCCATTGATTTAGAACTAGCTCCACTACCAAAGCCGAATGTAGCGACAGTACATTTGTCCTATTTTGGAAGCCGCTTAACATACCCTCTGCTAACACCCTTGACATCTTTTATTACGAGCTCAAACCCTTCAAAATCAAGAGCGGTCACTGCATCAAAACCAACATCGAATAGGATAAGTGACCATTCGAAGAAAGCATATTTGGTATAAGCTGGCGGGGAGTCAGTCAATGTTTTCAAGCGTAGTGCCCCAGACCACTCACCACCAGGAATCTTATGGACTTTGTGCTGAATGAAGTAATAGACGAGGGGAACGAGGGTGCCGAAAAAGAGGCCGGCAAATATTTTTCGATATTTCAGGGCCTTTGGGTTGTTCGGGCTGAGCGCAAGACATCCCAACGTCCACGGGAGGGTAGCCACAAGATACGAAATCATAAAGATATCGTGCCAGTCATGGTCGTCAGTCGAAGTGATATAGGTCCAGCCACCGCAAGTCAACGTTCTAAAGAGCCCCGTGGCCGCAACGAATTTGGGGAGACTGGAGCTGGGTCGTGCAGTGAGAATGTACCACAGGAAGACGAGCGCAAAGCGAGGGCCAGATGTAATTGCGATAAAGACTTGGAACACTGATCGCTCTGGATAGCGATCACCGATGGTGGCAGATACCGATGGAAACCACTCTTGAGGATACCCAAAGTACTCGTTCTGCACGATTTTGTTAAAGTGAAGGGACATTCCGACAATCAACGCGCCGAGGAACGCCGTGTAGGCTACAATCGTATGCGCCCAGGAGACCCATTTTCCGTTAATCTGTATACAATTAGTCAAGGCCAACCGGCACGGCAGTGGGATGAGAGTCATGCTCACGGAAATCACCGTATCCCCGTCTCTGAATTTTGGGGCCATTGCTACAAATCAAGAATGAGCGAATCCAGGGAGCGTACAAGAGACATATATTAAAGCTTCATTAAAATAATTACAAGAGGAACGAAAAGAGAGTGAAGAGAAGAAAGGAGTTGAAAAGCTCTTGAGCAGGTCTTCAACCCCCAATGGCTCCGATGTATCCGGCAGGAAAGTCGTGTTTCGCCCGCTAAAGGGATGAAATGAACAATTTTAGGGGGCCGGAGCCTAGGCCCAAATGAGAGCCGGAGGGTCTGTTGTTCCGTTCCGTGATATTGGTTGGAACTTTCTTCGGTGCTTTCGAGGAAGTCCATACGGCGAGAAGGGAGAGCAGCGCTGCAATCGAGGGTTTCATTATGGCGGCGACGAGTGACAAAGCTCGATTCTACCTCGAGCAGTCGATTCCCGAGTTGAAGGAATATGAAAAGAAAAAGATATTCTCCAAAGTAAGCTACTACCGCTCACTTCTCACTGAAGCTCACTAATCGGGTTTGCGCCAGGACGAAATCGCATCGATCACAAAGAAACGGTCTGATTTCGAACACAAGATAAATGCGCGCGGCCCATCGCCTGCTGATTTTGCCCGATATGCCGAATACGAAATGAATTTAGACACGCTTCGAAAAAAGAGAGTACAACGGCTAGGAATCAAAACCCCCGAGCACACGGGACAGAGGAGAATTTTTTTCATTCTCGACCGAGCAACGCGGAAGTTCCATGGTGATATCAATCTTTGGATGCAATATATCGAGTATACTAGAAAACAAGGCGCGCACAAAAAGCTATCACAAATCTTCACCAATGCTTTGCGGCTTCACCCTACTCAGGTTGACTTATGGATATACGCCGCGCGTTACGCCCTAGAGGAACATGCAGATATGACAGAGGCTCGTGGTTACATGCAGCGAGGACTACGATTTTGCAAAAATTCGAAAATATTATGGCTACAGTATGCGAAATTGGAGATGATCTATATTGCCCGGATAGCTGCCCGACAGAAAGTTCTCGGCCTAGGTGACAAAGCCGCCAACGCAAAAGCTCATCGATCTAAAAATGATGTGGGATCGGAACCGCTGCAATTAACTAGTGAGGACGTCAACCCGGCGTTGGAAAAGGACGAAGTTGATCAAACGGCGCTTGAAATATTGAACTCGACCCCAGCCCTGTCTGGAGCCATCCCAATCGCCGTTTTTGACGCCGCGATGCAGCATTTCAACGACGATGACTACCTTGGCCGCGACTTCTATAACATCTTTGCCGAATTTGAAGAAATGCCCTGCTTGAAGCGGGTACTATCCCATGTAGTTGATCGCTTGATGAGGACCAGCACAGCAAGTGCTCGATGTCAAATTTGTTTTATCAGGCTTCCTCTCGATGGAATCAAACCCACATCTCCAGAATTCCCTCGCGGTCTTGGGGAGTGTTTAAGCCGCATGGATGAATTTGACGCATCTGGCTCGGGCCCCGAGCTAGCAAAAGAAATCTCCAGATGGTTAAATCCGTTGTTATCCAGGGATGGCCTCGATCCAGCTCTTCGTCGAGTTATAGAAGCTACGCTTGCGAGAGAAGAACAAGCAATAGCTAAATACTCTACACCAGGTGGAGAGAGGTGACGCCTGGGTAGATAGCCACTCCGTAACCTGTCAAAACTGCCGTTTCGTCGTAAACGGCTATCGTTACATATTCGCAGGAGTATTGGCGGTCTGTAAGTCGGCACCGCACTTCCGTCTTTATGTACGTCGGATAGCAAAATTCAGTCATCATAGCCTCTACTTCTGCGGCTGCTTTTTTTGCCGCTGTGCGCTTTTTTCATCCGTATCCTGGCCTCGTTGTCCTTCTTCTGCCTTTGAACACCACATGTCAGCAGGGCAACGATACAGACAAGATTCCCACGCTACGCACAATTCTTTCACTTTCATTTTCTGTTCAACGGATGTCTCGCCTGGCACGGCTACCTTGCCAGCCTCAGCAAGCACGCCACGAAGCTTTTCAAAACAAAGTTCAAGATTTTGGGACTGTTTCCGTGTTTCGTCGGAATGAATGACCAAGCTATTCGATCTGCCGGCAAAGAAATGCGATGAACGGATTGTAGGATGGAGTACCGCAGGTACAAGGGGGAAAAGCGCTGTCAATGGCACTTTTAATGTCACCTTTGAGTTTACCCTGAAATATTTGTCAGTATTGATGACTATCCAAGTAGCCGTAGGTTGCGTTACACACTTATTTACATTTTGCCCTCCTGGGCCGCTAGACCTGCTGAAAGAGACTTCACAGATGTCTCTCGGAATTGTGTTCGACGAGAGTTGACCAAGCCATGACCTCGCAGCTTGAAGCTCTTCAGTGCTGAGTACAGTCGTGCTCTGGGGGGTTTTTCGCGAGGCATAGCGGCTGAAAGATGGCTTACATAGAGTTGTAATTGATGAATTAAGCCAGAGTAATGAATTATGAGGGCGTCGCCATGGAGTCATTTGAGCTAAAGCGGGTAACACGGTGTTAATTCCCTTGATGGGTTCGCCAGCAAGCATGAAGATGCATTTGCATTGAACCACAGATTAGTCAGCTGGTTTGGCCCGTGTGGAGCGCAAGGTTTTCAGCTCAGTTGAGCTACCAGGCCACATGGACGTGTCCCGCCATCTTTGCTTCAGTCCAGTCAATCCCACCGATCAACAGAGACTTCTTCAAGCTCAGCACCCAACGTTTGAGAGACAACCACGCCCTTTAGATGTGGAGATGTTGTGACATATAGTTACGCTCCTACCTCTATCTAAAAATCTTCTGGTTGATGCCCTTTTTGACTGTTTCTTAAGATTCGCCTTCCGTTGGTCAACTCACCTGCTGAGAGCGTGAATGAAGCTGAATTCGACAAGCCATTGCGAAGATGACATCCGAACCTCCTGGTGATGTTTTACACTTTCGCGGCAAGACCTTGACCCCAGAGAGTCCACGTCCTCTTCATATCCCAGAGCCATCCAACATCCCCGTACTTGAGAACCAGATGGACCCTATTTTCAATGACACGTCCACGTATCAAAGTGCTTCGCAGACGGACATCATGTCGAAACTGGCGAAGGCCGATGACACTGGCCATTTGATGGAACAATATGCGGGTATCTACACGTTGTTGGCCGAGAAGAATGAAGATGTGGCAGATTCCAACGGTCAAGACCACCGCACAGGTAGCTTTACTGCTTCTAACCAAGCAGGAGCCCAAGACGCAAAAAATGAATTGAATATTACAGCCTTTCAAAACCCTCTTCCAGTCAGTCAAGATTCATCCACAGTGACCGCTGTCTCTCTCCAAGAACCTCCCGCCTCATCCACGACTCGTGCTTTCAACCATGCAGCTCCCTCCGATTCATCCCAAGTCGAACCTGGTCCATGCTCCAGTACACCTAGAATAAATGATATGACGCATCCTGCGCCTTTACGAGAGGACCAGAACCCTGTGAATAATGATCAAATCATGCGCCATGATTCTGAAAACGGGATCAACTATCAAACGCTTCTCGATAACCTGTCCCAACCAGCTTCCACTATTCCGCCCATCAACGATGCCACTATCACTGTGCCAAATTCCGCTGCAGATTCAAATACGCGCTTACTAGATACGGAGCCATCATCATTTGCTCCGTCTAATCTCCCCGCACGCCCGCCTCCTCAAGACAACCGTGCAATTAACCCCACTTACTCGCCGGCCGATGGTATCCGTTCATTTCACAATTCACATACCCAAAACACAGCCGATTCTTCCCATTCTTCTCAGAGTAACACTCATGGATCAGCATCGTTGAATGCATCTGACACTTCTGCCCCATCATCTACTTACACCGGACTGCCGTCAGTTCTCGCATCGCTTCATCAGCCCAATTCTCCTAATTTCCAATATAACACAAAAACGGGTGCAGAGGCACATAATAGTCGTTCGGATGAAGCTCCCGGGTCACGCGAGCCAAAGCCGCATGATGATAGGAACAATGAAGCCCCATGGGGACCCGAAATCCAGCGGAAATATGATGAGTTTCTTCACAACGAGCGAATATATGTTACAGAAGGCGTATGGGATCGCTTTGCGCCTGGCTCCAGATTGTTTGTTGGTATGTTTACATCAAAGAAGTTGTAAGTATGTGGGACTAACCAGCCTCAGGTAATCTTCCCAGTGAAAGAGTGACCAAACGCGATTTGTTTCATCTTTTCCACAAATATGGAAAACTCGCCCAGATTTCAATAAAGCCAGCGTATGGTTTTGTCCAATTCATGGACGCAACCTCTTGCCGTAATGCGCTTGAAGCAGAACAAAACGGCACTATCAGGGGCCGAAAGATCCGTAAGTTGCTTTATACTTGATTGTGTGAAAGCGCAGCTGACAATTTAGATCTCGAAATATCCAAACCGCAACGTAGTGGACGGAATGCCAATGAGCCGTCAAAACAAGGTAGATCGAAGAGATCAAGATCGCCAGATATCGGCAAATCCCGAGAAGTAGGGCGCGGTGCGCGGTCGGGCAGCGAAAGACACGATCGTAATCTTAACGGCAAGAGGTCGCCCATTGTCGACAGAAGAGACCACCCTGACCGTCACCGTGATACTTATAGACCTCCGGTGCGGGGTGGTCGAGATGACTATCGATCTCGGGATCAGAGTCCTGAGCGGTACGATGTTCGTAGTAGACGGCGTTCGAGATCACCATACGGCCCGAATGACCGCCATCGCAATACCCCACCGATGGGTCACGGCTATGACAGCGACTCTGAGCTACCAATCCCTAGAAGGGCACCTCGCCACGTTCCCGACGTCCAAATCCTCGTTTTGGAAGACTTAGATAAGTAGGTGCTAGTTAATACTTTTCCATTTTACGTTGGGACTGACACATGGTTTAGTGCATTTGTTCATCACATTGAGACGGCCTTTAAGGATCGTGGTTTGCAGACAGATGTCCTAATTTTAAGCCCTCGCATAGGGCTTCAAGCAGTAATCCGACGTCAGATATTGGAAGGAGTACTGGCTGTAGTGAAGCTCTCAAAATCCAACCAGTACTCGTGCAAAATTCCTTTACAGGTCTTCGATCGTGGACGTGGTGCGGATAATGTTCGCTTCAATGGTAGGGCCCAACTCAACAATCCACAACCTCCAAAGCTAACCTCAGTAGAATACTCGGGGCTTGAGCCAAAAGTCGCTGTTGAAGTAGTGCTTCACGCACGCAATGTACCGATCAGTGCCTCGAGTCAAACACTACCAACGTCCGGTTTAGGAGTTCAGGTCCCCGTCCCACCCCAAAATCTGCTGGGGCCTCAACCCAACGTTGCAAATCTGATTTCAAATCTCGATGCTCCGGCTCTTCAATCTCTCCTTGGCGCACTGCAACAGAATACTGCCGGTATAGCTCAGCCACAATATCGTCCCTCCGGTCAGCCACCAGGTAACCTGGCTAACCTGAGTCATATCACGCATCATAATAACCCCGGCCCGTCTATGCTCCCTCCAAGCCAGTACCCGGCTCATGCCCAACCCTTTGGCCAGCCCGCGGCCAATACGCCTCTTGAAGCTGAAACTAACCTTGCTGCACTCCTGGCAAAAGGCCAGGTACCGCCAACCGACCCATCACAGGCGCGGTTTCTCATGGAGCAGTTAGCGAAATGGAAACAATGAGACGTCGAAGGTACTCTTGTTAAACCATTGAAGAATGGAATGACTGGTCATTAAGTGATGATCAATGTTGTTTTTAAGATCGGTTTCTTGCATTTTTCCCAGTTCGATTGTTATCAATGCTTTGGATTTATTGGGGCAAAATTCGGATGCGCCGAGTTGAGCAATTGACCCCAACGAAATTGCAGCCACTCGTGAAGCAGATTTCCGGGTAATACTTTGTATTCAAGCCCAGTTGCCATGGTTGATAAGAGAAGAGCAGTTTAAGTATAGGCCTAAAATCAAATAATAGTCTAATATACATCCCAACCCATACGCCTTCCCATGATATAACTATGCAAGACATCAATTTTCTATTTTGAAGCTTCGTCTTGCTTTATCCTTTCGATCGACAAGTCTCGTCTGTATTCCATAACTCGCTTCTCTTTAAAGTATTTGACCTACGCATTGAGAAATATCCACTGTAGTTAGCAATTTGACCGTAAATACTGCGTACTGGAGGAGAGTCTGAGATCAAGATATACCCATGTCGCCGAGCAAGCGCTCTCAAACTCTTGGATTTCCTTCCCGCACTTTGATCGCGCCTCTCCGTCCTTCTTTATAGAATCTATAATGCCGTTCTGGTCTAAGCAGTTGAAAAATAGGTCTCGGGCTTTGTAGCATTTGTCTCGCGACGAGCGATCGGGAGCGATTCTGCCGCCATCACTGGCCGTTTGGGGTTTGTCTGAGGAGCTAGAAAACCAGCCCATAGTTTCGATAGGAGGACGTATAAATAGGGAGCAATGGGATTCTTTCCAGAACGTGAAGGTCGAGTCGCGATAGTTTCTTGATGTTGGAGAAATTTGGGTTCAAGAACCATACAAGCTTCACGTGACGCTGCCGGATGGCCCGTCGTCATCGTGGCTGACAGATCAATTTCAACTCTTAGCAAAATACCGCGGAACAAACAAAACCAATGCTTCCTCACTATTAATATGTGTTTATAGTTGCCTCTCTTAGCGGAGAGAAATGACATTACCCTACTTCTCTTACAACTAGCCTATCGTGGCACGAATTTCCGTTTAAGTTCCATGCAACCCCGTCCGCGGAAACCCCGAAGAGCTGGTGCTCTAAAAGACCTCCCACCGCTGAGCATAGTCAAGAAGATTCTTCTTTTACAGGTTGCATACTATGTCTGCGCTACGATTTTGATTTTATTTGCGGCCCTCGTGGCTGGGACTGCGTTTTCCCCGGATCTGATTCTCAGCTGGCGGAGCCTAAGAGGGGACACCACAGTGGGATGGACGCTGAGTTTCGTCTGGCTGTTGAACAGCTTCTTCGGGTGCGTAAGCGTCTACCCCTAGAGCCTCTATGACCTGACTTTGGTGACTGACTCTGTATGGCCGTCGCAGTGTTATCTTCATCCTCATCCTAGTGTCGCGATCGAAGCTCGTCCCTGATTTTGCGCTCACCATTCATTTAATCCACCTAATCATCACGTCCTTCTACACCCATGCTATCCCTTCTAATATTCTGTGGTGGGGTTTGCAAAGCGCCAGCGCAGCCCTTATGATATTCGTCGGTATGTGGGCGTGTCAGTATCGAGAACTTCGACCGATCGCTTTTGGCGGCTCCTCTACCAATCAAAGGCGCGACAACCGGACGGCCGCGGATGTGGGTGCGGAAGAAGAGAATGTGGACTCTGCGGGTTTCTCCCGTGGGAGAGATGGGGGTGGAGAATATGAGATGGTGTCTGTGAAAGAGCGTCCAGAGGGACCTGTTTAGGGGTAACCATTACCAATATGGTTTTCTTTGCTAGTTTATATACCCTGCATTTGCACTTCTTGGAGTTGGGAGTTTTAGGCGACGCCGCACGTCCCCTATTGCCTCGAGGCATCTGCTTCTCGCCATCTAAGGTTTCCTTTTTGCTTTCTTTGTTTTTGGAATAATTAGACCCACGACTCTTGACCATTTTCTTTGCTGCTGTTGCTTCTTTATAATTACAGCTCGACCGAGCGCATGTATTTTTGTATTTCATAGCCGTGGAGAAGGAGTTCTGCCTGAGAACACACAACTTAACGATGTTTGCTTCTGTTTGATTCTCAGAAGCTGGATGACTTCATCGACTTTCAGGCGGCTCCTCACGTGACTGCTCCCCCAGGCGACCTCGTGTTGAACGACAAGGCAAGCTTGAGCACTGGACTCTTGTAGAGAGCAACTTCACAACACGCCAACCTCATCTTTAAATATAGGAAAATATAGTTTTAGGGAACTTGATACTGTGTCTGCTTCTCAGTTAAGGTTGCGAATCGCCCATCCGTGAATTCACGACCTGGCGAAAAGACAACTCGTGTGCTCAGACACCAAATTCATGTACGTTTCATGGCGCCTTGTATCCTCTTTTTTGTTTCTTATGATTCGATTGTCTGTTGCTTCTACAATGGAGTGGGAATATTTAGCTAAGGCTTGATCAACTCCGCCATTACGGCAATTAGAGAGCAGGCCAAGCGGTTCGTTCCCCAGATAGCGGGAGCAGATTGAACCGGCACTATGGCTGAATCTGAGCCCTCGTACATTGACTACGAGGCCTTCCTTGATCCGTCGTTCTCTCCCACCTCCTTTGCCAACACCCTGATCACAAGCACGAACAATCCCTCCGACTCGCCACTCGATCTCTCCACCCCTCTCTCACGAGTGCTATTCGATATCCAAGAGATAGACACTCATATACATACCCTAACTACTAAATCCGCACTTCCTCTCCTCGCACATACTCGCGATCAAAATGATGCCGGATTGAGAGTTTTGCACGCCGTTGAGGCGCAAGTCTCCGTCCTAAAAGAGGGGTATGAGAGACTGGAGAAGGATGTTCTGAGAAAGTGGGAGGGCGCTGAAGAAGTTAGAGGTGCTGCAGAGAGGTCTTGGGCTACTGTGAGGCTTGCCAGGGCTGTTGGGAGATGCTTAATGCTAGGCAGGCAACTAGAAGGGCAACTTCTGGAATTGAGCTCGCGAGCCGCAGATACCGGCGGGGGCGGCTCAGCGAACCTGGTGAGAGAAGATCATAGGGCTCTCATAAGAGCCTCCCATACCCTTCTAATGTTAAGGCGGATGTTCACAACTACGGCAGATGGAGAAGAAGGCTATGGGCTTGACCGAGTCAAGGTCATTCGAACTTTGAGAAGCGACCTAGTGACACCAGCGGAGAACAGCATAAAAGCGAGAGCACAGCAGATTGTGCAGAAGTTCTCATTAACGTCCTTTGCCCTGGGGGCGGAAAACTCTACCCTTTCTGCGAGTTCTCGCGGCCCGAGCCCCGGGCCCACTACCTATGCGCAGCAAGAAGAGGCAAGAGGGCGTGCTATCTCTGCTATCACGGCACTATATTTGCTATCCCCAACTCCAAAAACCAATATCCCAGCATTTACCTTTACCCCAGACCTTCTGCTTGCTACTTTGAAGGACTATATTCATACAGCTTTGTCCACGTCGTTGGCTGCTCTATCGCGGGGATTAGCTATGCTTCCATCGCTTGATCGAGCTCTCCTTGAGGTTTCCACACGTTGTCAGCACATTGTAGCACTAGAATCATTGTTGGAGGGCATTAAAGCTCCCAGTCACCCGTTCCTAACCTATCCCTCGAGCCAAGTGCACGAAACAGAAAGACACGCGATTGATGGAGATACTACGAGGATGAAGGCAAATCTACTTCAACCTTTGTTTCAATCACTGGACACCCCGTCTCTCCCTTCGTACTTCTGGCGGTCGCTGGCTTCGTCCCTCTCACCTCGTGTCCGAGAAATCGTTTCGCGCGGTGGTGTTTCTGCACGCACTTTAAGATCGAACAGAGACCGGCTTCGTGAAGATATCCGAGCCTGTGTTTTACGAGGCTCTCAACTGCCCGGTACTGGGCTAACCAGAGCGTCGTCGCGGGCCGCGGATGCGCCTATAGTTGTTGGGAATTGGGAACGCGAGGCCGCAGTCATGGTCAGTTCTGTGGTTAGTGCCCTTGGGAGATAAGAGGAACGAAACAGGGAATTCAGAGCTCAAGCTTCGCTCAGCTCTTGATTTCATGAGCCAATCTCATTGTGTCTTGTTTGTTCTCCTTGAGGTATGCGTCCTATATTTCACCTCCTTTGGTCATGGGCGTTTGGATTGAACCGGTGTGGAACTAAGGGTATGTTTGTACGGCTGGAGTATCTTCGTGATATTCGATTTGCAATGCGAATAATCTTGGGTATTTCGAATTCTAATCATCTGCGCCCTAACTGTGATTCGAATTTATTACCATGAAAGCCCCCGCTCTTGAATGACATGGTCAAACCTCTCAGAATTTGAACCCAATCTTGATTAGCGATAACCGTCTACTTCAGGTGATCATTATTGGCCCTGAATTCGTACGGTTTCACACAGCTTTTTTTCCTATTTTGGAATAATCGGTGTCAATCTTCAGGTCATACCCGTCAACTATAGCAAACGGGATGAACAAGCGAAGATCCCAGGCGCTTTTAAAATCTGTTTGCCATGACGTCCATGAACCAAAGGCCCTTCTGATGTGGAAGCCAAGTATCGCCGAATCACGACGTTCAAAGCAACACCGCTTTAAGCGATCACGGCCGCTGCATTCTTGGTCGTGGTGCAGTATACAAGCCTAGGCTTCTAGCCGCGCCTTTTGCTGATCCCACCTTGATTTGATATGAGATGCTCTGAGGGGCTTTCTATGGTGCTGATTTGAAAGCCTCCATGGATATTTCTGGTGTGCATCCTTTTCCTCCTTCATGAACATGACAAGATGCAACATGACACCGCATATCAGGCACAGCAAGCATCTCAAGACTAATAAGCGTGCATTTCCTGTTGTTGGTCCTACCCCGGAATCTCGGCAGCTCGCTTGGTCCTGTAACATGCTGTGTGCCTTAGGTACGTACCTGAGGAGGCTCTTTTGGTTCGGGACCTGGGAAGGCAGGCCTTGCCGTGGGAGTTTGCGGGGGCGGAAATGAGCCCCCGCTTTGATCAACGGGAGCGTTGATCCATACGGGTGCATGTTTTGGTTCTGTACGACAACCGCAAACCGCTCGACTCATGGGCTGTGTCAACCATGAAAAATGCTGATTCGCCTTTGCTAGGAGGCCATGCACGGTACATATAAGTCACTGTTATCCGCTTGTTGGTTTTGCGGATGTTGTGCTTGAACACCTGCCTATGGTTGTTAGAGATCGGCTTTCACATATATTCCTTCTTTACATGACCTTCAGCCCCGGCCTACAATGGAATTCCCTTCACTCCAGAGTGGACAATGAGCTAATCATTCCAATTCGAACCCGGAGTGACCTCTTCCGGAAAGATTTTCGCTGTGAGGATGGGCTGCTACTCAGTGTTACTAGAGCCTTGAGCCTTCATACAGTGAGAATGGTGTGATCCGCAATCCTGCAGAGCATTTGTTCAACCACCACGAGGAGGACAATTGAAGCTATGGGTCTACGAAACCCCATTGCAGATTCCCACGACAATGGCTGCTATAAATACCAGGCTCGTTTCTACCATGGACGTCTTTGCAAATTGCCAGAGTGCCCGCCAGGAGCCCAGGTCCAGGAATATCAGAGCCAGTCTATTTGATATCACGCCACAACCATGCTGCTCAAGCTCTTCTACTTTTACTTTTTCTTCGCAGCCGTAGCGCTAGCCGTCCCAACCGACTTGGACGAATCGTCTGTCTCAAACGCCCATACTCTTTTTGCCCGTGACAAGGTAGCCATTCCACCGCTCGTGTATCTGCAGACCTCAAATCTATATCCCAGAACTAACAAAAAGGCCACACCCAGGAATACCATTGCCGCGAATCCACCGACAAAAAGAAGGAGAACAACAAAGGCGCCCTCGTTGCCAACATCTCTCGCGACAAGGCTCGCAAATCCGCGCGAAAAGCAGGCCTCAAGCCCGGTAAATCCGGCTACCCGCAACGATTCTACAACCGCGGGGGTCTCAAATTCGCCAAACCATGCAACAAGAAGAAGCACGACATCTACGAGTATCCCATCGTTGCAGACCAAAGGAGCGATTATCCAAAGGAGCAAAAGGGTGCGAACCCGGGCCGCGTCCGGGTGTATTATGACCAGTACTTTAATATCTGTGGGGTTGGGCTCAAGGCGAATAAGGACAACTCGGGGAATCCTCATCTGTGCACTTAGGTGGGATTTGGTTTGGGCGTCGTCGTCTGTGCCGCTGGGCTGCATAGCTAAGCAGGCGGGACGGGCCAAGATGGATGACGAGTTGATATTGGTTTCGTTGTTGGTGGTTTGAGAGATCATCGAGAGCTTTTTCGTTATTTGGTGTTGTTTTCGGCTTTTGTCATGCTGGCGAGGCGGTGGTTGGGGGCGGAGGAGGTCCTACGTTACTGAGATGAGATCAAATATTATGGATTGATACGCTACGACTCCAGGGAGCTTCACTAAAGCTGACGGAGTCCAGTAGAGGAGGTCTCTGTTCATCAATCAATGATGAGATCAAGTGTGAGTACAAGATCAAGCATTCTAGTTCTCAATACCAAGTCGAGCAGTTGCCCTAGCAAAGCAGTCGCCGTTGACTAACCCCAACACCCAAGCATAACTAAATCTCATCTCACCTTCACTGCCCACCAGCCCTCAAGGCCTCAATCCGCTCCATCCTCGCTACCGTCTCCCTCGCAACCTCCCTCGTCCCCTCCTTCAACCCCTCGCACTCCGCAAACTCCACCAACCTCTCCCTCCACAACCTCCACCGTTCCGCGCTAAACTCATTCTTCCCCGGCCCCTTCATCAACGGACCACACACCGACCCTCCCACGACTGTCCCTTTTAGATAAAACATCCTGCCCGCATGCTTGATCCACTCCGCCACCACGGCAACGCTGTGGTCCACGTTCGGGACCGCGGCGGGATCGGTGACGATAGTGCGCTGGCTGCCCTTGGTGGTGGGGTCGTAGTAGCCTTCGAGGGTGGAGGAGAGGGACCAGATACAGTATCGATCGAGGGGGATGGCGTAGCTGAAGAGGCGGGCGGCGTAGCTGTTGAAGTTGAGGTCGTGGGCATTGGTGCGAGATCCCTCGGCGCGGCCTTTCTGTGTACCAGGAACGAGAGAGGGGAGTGTTAGGGATTTGATTTAAAACGGCCTGGTAAAAACCTTCCCTTGAAGAGATCCAGGGGGGTTCACTCAACGTCATAAGCCGTGCTGAACGTCTCTCCAAACAACGGTAGGTCAGCCCACAGGGCAAAGTCCCCCCAGCCTTGAAGGTGTACCTGTCGAGAAGGCATATCGCGTAGCTTGATTATCAGCTGCACAAGCATATCCATGGCGGGATGGTCTTGCGGGATGAGACGCGCAAGCATATGGAAGGGCTCCCAGAAGCTATAAACGAAATCTTCCGACGACTCCTTGGGGACTCGCGGTTCGTCGGGACGCTTGTCTGGGTGAAGCTGATCCAGTTTGCGGGCAGTATCTTCCAAACTTGTTGAAGAGTTTGGCGGGAGGTAGTTGTAGATGATATTGAGGATCTGGTTCTGGACGGGGAGAGGGTCGTCCAGAGCCAGAGTGAGAGCGTCAGAGTAAGACATGTTCTTTTTTTTTACTCGAAGCGTGTTTTAGGATAGAAAGTAGTACTGAGAAAAGAATTCAAACGAATTCAAAACGCAGTGATGGTTGTATAAATGGAGTGTTGATCTTTCAGCCGCCGAGTTTGAAAGTCTCCAAAGAGACATCAAAGCGAGGGATGACGCAACACTTTATACAACTGAAGACCCAACAGGAAGCTCAGGAAGGCCCGAAAGGATCCTTGAAAGTGAAGTTACACAGAAGAAAAAGCAATTAGTCAAGGCGCTTGAGTGTTGTTAAGAGGTTGGATATCCGTCAACAGGCTGCCACCAATGAGTAGTTATCTGCAAGGGAAATCTGGGAAGCGAAAACTGGAATCATTGTTATTCACTAGCACCACATGAGGATAAATTGAAAAGAATGGGTTAGTATGTATGTGCTTGTGAGTGCATTGTAGCAGAGAGATATCATCTGTAGGCCCATAAATTCAATCGGGGTTAAAAAGTGGTAGGTAGTTAGTTTGCTTTTATAGTTACCAAGGTGACTATGGGTGTTGGCCTATTTAGATTTCTACTTGGAAAGCTAGCAAGCTTCCTGGATGTTTTCTTGTGCCATTCCAAGCGCCTTGGTTCAGGGTCTTCGCATGCCAATTGCCTTTCCAAAGCACACTTGAAGTTTTCTAGAAGCGTAGGCTTGTCCATGAGAAGGATAACTGTGCGTAAAAGCCAGCCTGTTTCATGGAATTGTGGTCTCCTTTTCCAACGCCGCTCGCCATTTTTAGTAAATCTAACTGGAGCCAGCGTTCTCTGAATTTGGGCCATCTCTCAAGGGGTTCGATACCGCAATTGGTGCAGCAATGCTCCGCGGTAGCTTGCGCTCAAACCCAGTCGGGTTGCTAGTTTTGTGAGGGAAAAAACACCAAGTTATCTCGTGCAATGGCTGGATGATGCATTTGGAATCCCGAAGTCTGCTCAAGATCAAAACGGCAACCCTTGATTAGCCTTCATATCTGTTGTGGTCATATCCGGCCTGAAAATGCGTTTCCGGGTCAAGCTCAATATGTTTGGCCACATATGTAGTGGTATAAATGACTCCAAAGCTAACATGGCAAGTAGACAGTTCGTTGATCAAACGTGCCGCTTTGTTTTTACCTTCTGTTATATTGGTCTGGCCAGAAGCGTCTGCCGCCACGGTCTTACCCTGTTCGTCGATATTAGCCCGATTCAACAAAACCTTGGGAGTCAGGGACGCTTCAGGTTAGTAGCGCTCGAGGTATGAACTCATCATTACGGGTTGACTTGCGGGATTTGAAACAATCGATTCGTGGTGATCTCGGTGTGAAAGATCCGTGGATAAAACGGTTGATCGATTGGTTTAAACGTCCGTTCTCCAAGAAGAAATCAATCCAGCATTGGTCAACATCTCATCGCCACATAAGGCTTATCGCTTTCGGCTCGTTGATTTTTTTCCTGGAGAGCTTGAAGAATCGGAGATTTAGTTTCAAAGTCGAGAAAACCTGCATGAAACGCGTGGAAGGCGGTCCCGCCGCTGGAGGGGAATCGGTGATGCCGACAGCCATTGGCCCACGCTGCGCCTAAAAAGTTGAGCGAGTTGGACAAGAGTTCACAGGGACCGGGTGGTCGCTCAAAGTATCTGCCCCAGAGGAGGAATGGATCGCAGGGCCAATTATCCAGGAAAAATCCAGGTACGGGTGCGGTACGCTAAAAAAGCGGATTTGGGAGAAGCAGCGTGAGCCGGCTGATGATTCGCAGGCTAAGGCTGATCTATGATGCATTCCGAGCCACCGCTCGGCTCAAGGGCGGTTCTGGCCGTGGAGAACAACGAACAAGAGTTTCCGTTTGCCCTCGAGGCCCAAGGGGTCTCCGGTGGTACCTCCGAGAATGTTTCGTTGTGCCGCGGGAGATCCATATGTGCTCAGTCCAGGGACGGGGCAGGTACCGGTACCTGAACGTGAGCACGGCCGCGAACAGCCAGGCACGAGAGTGACCGCGAAGTACTCTGTCTGTACTCCATCCAACTGCGATCCAGGAACGACGCAGGCTGCGTCGACCCCGACGTGAATCCCGACAGCGTGCAAAAGAGGGGGTGGCACAAACACCCGGGGCGTCCAATACAAGACTCACACAGCAGCTGTGCGCCCAGTCAGGAGAACAAAGAAAACAAAATAAAAACATGTCCGTCATGGAGGGGTCGGTTTGAGGTCTTGGGGCTGCGCTGCTGCTCGCGTGGTTCGATTGGAAGAAACACCATCGAGTGAGTTACCTAGTGATTCCCCTGGACGATTGCCGTGCTGTGGATGGCTGGTTGTGCCGCGCTGGATGTGCTGCTCATCAACGTCATCTGAGGGGGCAGCTCTAGGCCCCGTCCGTCCGGGTTGGTGTACTCCTTTTCGCCTCTTCAGCGCGTGCTGGATGGATAGTTGTCGTGTTCTTCTACAGATCCCCTGCGGCTTATCAGATGCTATTATCCCCTAGTCAACTATGAACCGGCGCCCCTGCTCGACATGCAGCTCCCAACCGAAATCAATTCCCCTTTTGCATGCAACAACTCTGGGTTTGCGAGGTACGGTGTTGATGTCCTGTAGTTAGCTGTAGCTTCGGTCTGGGATAAACTGCCTTTGCACTTCGCCACAGAAACCTTTTTGCAGGTTCGTTTGTGCCAGAGCTCGACGCTCGCTGCTGGAGGATGATGATTCATAACTAGAGGCTAGATGAAGTGCACGCGGTGGTCATCAGTCCGTAGTTGTGAATACGGCCAGCCTCGTTCCCCCGTCTCTCCTGTTAACGAGCGATTAGTTCGCTAGCGGGATTTGCAGTTGGTGAACCGCTTTGATCGTGTGTAACTGTGTCAGAGCTAGAGATGCGTTCAGCAAGCCCATGCGAGCACGCCTGCTGCGGTCCTGGAGCCCGCTTCGTATCTTCAGTCCCTCTCTGATATCGCTTTACCTTCACGCAAACCAAGGGGCAGGCCAACCCAGATTCCCCATTTCTTCGGATTAGCCACAAGCCCACTGATCTCCTGTTCCCGTTCCACGGCTTGCTTCTACTTGCTACTTCTTGTTCTTTCTCCTGCGTCTGCTGCTTAAAACCGGCCGCTTCAGCCCTTCACACATCATAGCGGGCCCAGCCCTTTTCAGGTTTCATCTCCCCCTCCCTTCTTCCCATGCTGTCTTTTGCTCTCCTCCCCATCAGCCTCATCCTGCTCACAACTCCCGTTCGTGTCTCGCTCTTCTTTCGTGTTATATTGTGCTATTGATTACGTTTCTCTCCTCTGCTTCGGCCGTGTCCGATAGATTAACGTCCCTGAAACAGCACCCAACAAAGCCAGCCGTCTTCTCCGGTTCTTTTGCCCAACGCCAGAGCACCTCACAGTCTCACCAAAGCACCTCCAACTGCCGCTCCACCTGCTTCTCCCCGTCAACATCCTGCTTTGTCTCCGTCCATCTTGAAGTCATCGCTCGTCCAGGGGCCCCGTTGGATCAATCTTGATTGGGCTGCTTGCAAATCCCGATGATCTAATCCTACCCCAGCCCTGCCTCCTCCCAGGTTGCGATCCTCGTTTCTTGTGTCGTGGACGCTGCTCAACTCCTCCACCCCGCAAGTCGAAACGCCTCTCCTGGTAACAAAAAAAAGGAACAAAAGAAAAAAAAGAAAATAGGCGAAGAGTGCGTGGACAGACACCAGGCAAACTGCACTTCATATATTCGTCTGTATTTGCCTGTTGACCGCACCCTCCACCTGCTCTACTTGGCGGTGCTCTGCGTTTCGGTAAGCGTTTCGTCCGAAGATCAGCGCTCCGTTGGTACCCTTCCTCGCGCAGAGAATCCCTTCCGGCTAAACATCCTCTTTAGGAGCCCCGTCGTCCCTGACCAACCCGCCCTGCTGTCGCTCCTCCTCCGTCTCACGCGAACGCGCGCCGACCGTTCTTGTCTTATTAGCGGACGGATATCGGTGGGGGGGTTATTTTAAGCAACGTTCGCCCATTGGACTCCCGTCGCTCCTGGCTCCAGGGACGGGCGTTGATTACATGTGGCCGTGTTCCTGATCCAAAGGTTCCCTCTCCGCCTTCCTCTCAGCCGGCCTTTTCGGACCACAGGGCAGGACCATCGAGGGTTGAACCCGCACGAACCATGACCACGTTTCTTCCAGTCAACTTCAACAACACCGGCGCGGAGATCAAGATGGATTTTCAAAAAAGCTCCACGGCGCCTTTCATGCCTCAGACGGAACGCTCGGTGAAGCGTGAGGCCCGAGAACAAGGCCATCCCCTCTACATACCCGCGAATCATGGCGAGAACAAGCGCCAGGCGGTTGATGGAGCCGCGACCGATCATCCCAAGCCGAATTACTCGCATCCGAACCCGGGCGTTTCGCACAGAAGTGGGAGCAGGGAAGGCTCTTCAACACAATCTTCCGCCCCAGAAGATGTCGCTGCGCATGATTCAGAAGGGGAACACTATGCAAGTGAGAACGAAGCCGAGGCCGGAGATGCCGCACCTCCGTCGAAAAAGAAAAAAGGGCAACGGTTTTACTGCAAAGACTTTCCTCCTTGCAACCTGAGCTTTACGAGAAGTGAGCATTTGGCTCGCCATATAAGGTTTGCCGATAACCATCTCTAATTCGAGGCATGTCTGGGTCTAATCTTTGAGAAATAGAAAGCATACTGGCGAACGACCGTTTCAGTGTCATTGCTCAAGGCGATTCTCTCGCCTGGACAACCTCCGTCAGCACGCACAGACCGTCCATGTCAACGAAGACATCCCTGGCGACTCGCTTGCTGCCACAGGAACTCGATTCCAGCGCCAGATACGGACTGACCGTGTACGGCCCCCCGGGAGAGCCCGTGCTGGGACTGGTGGCAGCCAAACTGGCGGCCCTAATCGCGGACACAGCAGGAATTTATCCACCTCGAGCATTGCTTCTACTGTTTCCTCCTTTAGTCAGACCCAGGAACTCAGACGACGACCACCACCGATAATAATGGCTGGCGATGGAGCGGCACGAGCCAGGCTGTCTCTAGAAACAGCCTCGTCACCCCCCAAGACTCCCCCTCAGCAGATCCACCCATATTCTGTGCAATCGCCGAGCACAGCCCTTTTTACTCCGTCTTCCGCTACCTATGACACAACCAGCCCTTTTTACGCATCTCCTGCCTCAGCAACTGGATTCTGGGGCGATAGCATACACGCTCGTCGGCTGTCGGTTCCATCTGGGAGTAGACCTTTTGACGCCTCGCATGCAAGCTCATACCCCCCTGCGCATCTCAGGCAGCTTGCGCCTGCAAGTGGCCCTTATGCTGGCAATGAGAGTCCTTTAGGAGGCCCCACTGGACCTCACACCCCACAGAGTGCACAAGGGATGTCCCCGTCTGACTCTGACTGGAGACGGAGGACCTGGCACCCAAGCAGCGGGTTCGCACGACCTGTAAGTAGTGGTCTTTGGATTCAGCAGTCAGCCGACCAACCTTCATCGTTCCCGCCAAACTTGCAATCAGTGCCAGATCAACCTCCACCGAGGCTTCCGGGAATCGAGAGTTTCGATCAAATACGGCAGAATCCCTCAGCCCCTCCACGGCGCGAACCTACTCCGATGCAAATCGACCATCCTGCTCTATCAGACCAGTCGTCCACACAACAAACTCCCACTGCTCCCGTATTTCCAACATCGTTTAACCCACACCCCCCTCTATCACGTCCGCCACCACCTATTTCAGGTCCCGGCCACCGTAGGGGATATCTATCTTTGGATATGTCCCTGCACAGAAATTTGACCAAGCTTGATATTCGAGAAAAGCCTTCTCAAAATGATGCAAGTCAATGGGGCAAGCAAACGACAACGGTCCAGCAAGAGCCACTTTCAGCTGAATCTGTTGTGTCCGGGGTTACAACTCAGGCTTTACCGACCATCACATCGTCAGAATCACACACCGTTTTGGGACCTACCAATCTTGATGGTCAGAATAAGAGACATGCTTGGTATAGTGTCACAGGTTCCAATCCTCCACAACGAAATCCATCAATTACCAACGCTCCTCCTGATGCCAATGCACAAGCCCCGTCAGCGTCGAGCGTTGACTACCTTGCAACTGTTGCGCAAAATGAAAGCGAAATAGAGCGCCGCCATTCATTGGGAGTTGCTGATGGTAGCGGAACTGTGAGTTACAAAAAATAATTTCATACAATTAACCCTGGCCTATACTGATATCTTTCGCTGTAGTCTTCGCAGCCGCCAAAATACACTTTTGATCCCAACTCAGAACCACGTTCCGGTGTTTATTCTGGCCCGGCGGGAAACGAGAATGGTCTGGACCGACTGGAGGCCCTCGTTGCTGTTGCAACCAGCCAGCGGCGGTAAATATCTCACACCCAGGACTTAGATCGGCCAATCCCTTTCCTTCATATTGTCGGGCGGGATAAGTGTTCTGTTATGACGCAGGGTCCAACGCGGTTCTTTTCAACATCAACGTTTACGAATTTGCCTTCGTTTAACTTATGCTCTTTGCTTTGGCGAGCTCGATTGCACTCGGTTTTGCGAATTATTTTGGTGACCGGAGATACCCTACCATCTTTTCTACCTGCTTCGTTTTTCGATTGTTCTTTTTTGTTAGATTCCAAACCATCAACGCCGGCCTGCATCTATCTGTATTGGACGATTTCTGGAGAAACGGCTTTTGCTGGGTATTTTGGTCTAGAGGCATCTGGAAGGATTGGCAAACGAGTCCCTCCCATTTCTTTATTGAGTGACGTCGAGAAACGGACGCGACCCCAGCAGGTGCTGCTTTGCCTTCAAATTTTTCTGAAGGAATACCTAAGGAAGTGAGGCAAAGCGTATTGCGCCGCTGTTCTTGTTTTCGCTTCTTTGTAGTGTTTTCTTAAAATACGTTTTTTCTTCGTTATGTCTTTATGGTCTTGGTTTCTGATTTCTGAATTTGGAAGCCCCTTTCTGGTTATGATATGATGATGCATGCTGGGATGCTCTCGATATATTTGCTTGGCTTTTCTGTTTGTGCTTTACACTTCGGTCGCTCCCCTTTTTGTGTTTTTTTTATCTTCCCTTTTGGATCGGCTTCGCAGATGAGGTTAACTAATGATGACATGACTTACGGCTGCTTACATACTTTTGCCTTATTGGAAGTGAATACTACTGTACATGGCTCTATTTTTCCCGCTCAGCTAGCCCTCTTTCAATCCTTTTCTGTGATTAGGGGTCCAAAAGAACTCTCTTTTGGGAATTATGGTAAGTCTTGAGGGTGCTGTGCTGCTAAAAGAGAATCCGCTCACCTATTTTAGCCAACCTCCATACGGGTTTTTGGCAACATATGTATGTACGTATCGAGTAAGTTAAATTGGAAAGTAGGGAAGAATAGGATACTTTTGGTTATAACCTGGAAGCCAAACCGAAAGCCCCCGTTTGCCTCTTCCCATTCCCAGCATGGGTACTTCTGCCGCTGCTCAAACTGCTCTTTTACATCCTTTCGCAATCTTGTACAAAGGGGTCTCTACCAATGGCGTGGTATTATTGTGCCTTCTTTTAGGCGCCCAGGCTCTAATTGAAGAGTATTGTTGCCGTTTGTGTTATTATCAAAAGTGGACAAGGGACTTATTGTTGTGCGCCGTCATGGGAGTTGTGTAGAGCTCCGGCGAGTGTACGGTTACAAAGGCCACACTGATAATTAACCCTCCGGACCTTGTTATTATTGCGCCCTTTGAAGCAACTGGGCCTTTGAGAGGATCCCCTTTTAGTTTTCTGAAGGATTTCCCATCATTGAGATAAGTTGGAATTTTGCGTGTGTGTCCTGGATTTGCTATTCATTTGTGTTATCCTTTTTAGCGTAGAAACGTATCAGGATTTGATATGTTTATGACAAGCGATGGCAATTGGGTCCATCTTCCGTTCTTCCATTTTCTAGGTGATGGGCCTCATTGTCCATGTACCTAATTGAGAACGTAATGGGGGAGCCGGTTTCTTTCTTGTCTCTTGACTCTTTCAGTTCCTGCTTCGCTTTTATACATCCCATGTCCTTCCGCTATATGCGGGTGATGTTACCTCCTCCTCCCCGCAGAGAGTGACTACATTTTCCACTTGGATTTGGAAAGAAATTTTTTGAACACGAAAATCTTCGTGATTAAATATCAAAGTTGAATTTAGCATTTGGACTTTTTTAGTGACCCAGTTGGGTCATTTCCCCTTCCGTTGCATTAGACAAGTTAGGGAGATATCCAGCAATGGCGAGCGCAGGATACATGCGCATGCACCTCGTCCCTTACTCAACGGACCAAGAAACTCCTCTATGCGATGGATCCTTTTCCGAAAATGCCACAGCAAAGTGCACGAGCCTCAAACGAGGAAGTGAGAGTGTCGAAGACTCCGACGAAGATTACTATAGTTCTCAAGAGTATATTGAGGGATCCAACTATCCGAAGCGCCGTCGCCAGTACTTCGACCTAGACATGCCCCCTACCAAACCATGGCGTGGACCACCGCTTCACGATCCGGAGCTTTATGAGACGATTCAGCGGCTGGGCAAGATGTCGGGAGCGTATATGGGTGCTGGGGCTAATGTAGTTTTGAAATTTGAGCCGTTCGGGTCGCCCAGTCCGAGTCCGATGGAGGATGAAGCGAATGTGAAGAGGAACTCTGTTCACGAGAATTCGAGAGATATGGCAAGCAGGCGTGAGCAGGGTATGAGTGGGCGTGCCGAAAGTTTGCAACCTCCACCGTTTAGTCCTTTGACTCCGAGGAGTGAGCAGACGGAGGAGACGAGTGTTGAGGAATTAGCAAGTAGGTGTCTTTGCCTTCTTACGGTAGAATTCTAAGCTCACTGTTACCTGGTGTCCAGGAAGAGGCGTTCAGGCTCTATATGCGAGTATCCGAGCTGCTCAGGGTAAGGATGCTCAAGGCGAACGGATCCACGAAGACGGAGTTCAAGAGATGGAAGTTGAACAACCGCACGACCAAGTAACAGAAGGCCAGACAGGTGGCAAGAAGCTTCCGGAATTATCGGCTCTCCAAGAGGAAATGGAACGGGATGTCTCTGCTCACGCGAGGTCAGTGTCCGGCCAGTCCACGATCCCAGAAGAGACGGAAGAAAGATCGTCCCCTCCAGTTGCCCCTGGCCCACGGCGTGGTAAAAAGGACCTGGGACAGCCCCCAATAACTGAAGCCGCCAGCGAGAAACCGGACACCTCATCTTCAAAGCCTACAGCTTCACAAGGAAATGCCAGTAAGACGTCGGGATACGACTCTGACTTCCTTACGGGCAGGGAAAGAACACCGTCTAGACCTCCCCCGTCTGTTCCCCCTTCGCCAACAGAAGGAATGAAGAGAATCGGCAGGGTAAGGTTATATGCCGCTTTTCCGAGAGTGATGAATTTCAGAAGAATCAGAACCTGGGCAGGACGACGAGTCAAAGCCCCTAGTATCAGGAAGGTTCACACTTCAGCGAATCTGCTACCGCGGCCTTGTCTGACCAGGCCTGGTAGACGGGATGTTAAATTCTTCCGCGAGCCTTTCCCTGTGTCGGAGAGTCCATCAGTGGCTTCGCTACAGCCTGTCCCGCCGGATCCGTATGCGCATCTATTTCCGGATCGAGATATTCCAATACCCTCCATTGAGGATCCGACACCGGTACCGGAAGCTCAAGCGCCTGTTTCTGCACCCCGTGGTGGCGCTCCACGAAGAGCTAGAATAAGAATAGGTCCGCCGCGTGGCCGATCCAATAGGCAACGGATTCCGCCCGCATCGGAAGCTCACCAACCATCAGGGCTGGCGAATGAAGCGTCTCAGCCGACTACTGCTGCTGCGGCGCCGGATGCACCCACTCTTGCCCTTGGCACTGCTGCCGCAGCACCTAGTGGCCATCTTGCGGGTGCTCCTGCAGCACGTGGCGTCCCTCGCCGAAGAGCACGGACTAGGCCAGGTCCACCACCACGTGGACGAATTAGACAACCGGATATAGCACCAAGAGCTGAGGCACTGAGTGAGAGCGCGACTGTTGGTCCCTCTGTAACTGGAGAGACGCGAAGCCTGCCTAGAGTTCAAGCGCCAGGGGAAGCAGAAGAACAAATACAACCAGCCACGGAGTCGACAGCGCAGCCTCCAGCGACAGTCCCAGGTACTGGAGATGCGAGAACGACCATAAGGGCTAATACGGCTGCTAGAAGAGCACCACCACAAAACCAACCATCACACGAGGGCCGATTAGAGGAGCCCAATCAAAATCAAAATGAAGGACAGGAGCGCACTGCTGCGCCGGTCCCAAGACAGGGGAGGGGAGCAGCCAAAGCCACAGCAACTGCTCCGCTTCCGAGGCCAGAAGGTCGGGTTACTCGCGCAGCGGCAAGGGCAGCGGCGGCGGCAGCTCAGGCAGCTGAAGCTGCAGCAAATGCCCCTACAGAGGATATCCAAGAAGAAGAGGAAGAAGAAGAAACACAGCCAGGTCCGGCTCGAGCACCAGTAAAGAAGGGGCGCGGTGGAAAAGCGGCATCAGCGGTAGCGGCCAAAGGCAAAGCAACTGCAAAGCCAGCGGGTAGAAAAAGGCCAGCTGCTAAGAGTTTAAAGGCCGTGAAGGTAGAAGAAGTAGACGACGAAGATGAGAGTGAGGTGGAAGAGAGCGATGAGGAACAAGTGGAGGTTGCGCCTGTTCCAAAGGGCAAGAAGACAGCTAAGGGCGTCTCGAAGGCCTCAGGAACGAGCACGGCTAAGAAATCGGGGACTGGTAAGCGGGCAGCTCCTAAGAAAGGGGGTAGGAAGAAGTAGTAAGGTCGGGTTGTAGTGCTTTTCCTCTTGACCAGAGGCGTTGTTAGTTACACTTGTTAGAGAGAGATTGAGATTGATTAGATAAGATAAGATCATATCGAGATTACTAATAGCCAAAATGAGTGACTAAGTCGGAGCCGGAGAAACGTAGCGCCGAATAGCTTGAATTCGCAGCTTCACGACTTTCATTCACTTTCTCACAGCTGGCGGCGCTGATGCTTGGAATTGCATTCACCGGAAGAAGAACGGAAGGAATGTCAGTCAATAGCCTTATTACAAACCTGCTATTTTAATATTTGAAGGTCATGAATCTTTCCCATCTCTCGTTTCCTGTTGTGCTCGATGATTGCCTGCTCCCCGACTCTCCAAGGCCATATTTTCTCCTCAACTTGAGGCACCGTGCAGTGCTGGGTCGTGCTTCGGATCGATAGTACACCAAGCGAACTTGTGCTTAGATATTCCGGCCATGTTCACGTTTACTCCGCTGCTTGGGGCCCAATACTCCCGGTCCAAAGCCTCCCAGTCGATACTAGAGCTCGATGCAGGCGTCAAGATTTTGATTGACGTTGGCTGGGACGAGAGTTTTGATACATCCGCCCTTCATGAATTAGAAAAGTATGCTGAATTCCTGTGCTCTGGATGTTTCTATTAGTTCTCTCACAGTTACTAACCATCACTTCCAAATATAGGTATATTCCCACACTCTCATTAATCCTGTTAACTCATCCCACCCCGTCTCATATCGGCGCCTTTGTGTATTGCTGCAAAACCTTTCCTTTATTCACACAAATTCCTGTCTATGCGACATACCCCGTTATTTCGCTCGGGCGTACCCTCCTTCAAGATCTCTATTCATGCGCTCCCCTAGCCTCCACGTTTTTACCCACCACGTCCATATCGGACGCGAATGGCCCTGGCGCGGCAACTACGACCTCCTCGCCAGTACCAGGAGGACTCTTTACTGATGGCCCGGCTACGGATTCTACCCGATCTGGCCGAATTTTGTTGCCTCCACCTTCTCCCGAAGATATTGCACGTTACTTCTCACGTATCCATCCATTAAAATACTCCCAGCCGCACCAACCTACGCCGTCTCCCTTTTCAGCGCCACTTAATGGCCTCACGATCACCGCTTACAATGCTGGACATACTGTTGGTGGTACAATGTGGCATATCCAACATGGAATGGAATCCATCGTGTACGCTGTTGATTGGAATCAGGCTAGGGAAAATGTAATCGCAGGTGCAGCCTGGTTTGGCAGCTCTGGTGCCAATTGGACAGACGTTATCGAACAGCTCCGAAAACCGACAGCCTTGGTGTGTAGTGCAAAGGGCGGTGATAAATTCGCGTTGGCTGGTGGAAGAAAGAAGCGAGATGATCTGTTGTTGGACATGATCCGGAGTTGTGTCGCGAAAAACGGCACGGTTTTGCTACCTACCGACACAAGTGCGCGGGTTTTGGAATTGGCGTATGTCTTGGAACATGCCTGGCGCGAGGCTGCCGATAGCGCTGATGGAGAGAACTCATTGAAGAATGCTTCGTTATATCTAGCTGGGAAGAAGGTTCATGGGACCATGCGACTGGCTCGTAGTATGCTAGAGTGGATGGATGAAAGCATAGTCCGTGAATTCGAGGGTGGCGACGCTAACGAAGCTCCTGGACAGCCCACTGGAACGACCGGTGGATTGCATTCAAAAGGCATGCCCGGCGGGGCAACAGACAGGAAGGGCGCAGGCACACACAAAGGGCTTGGACCTTTCACCTTTCGGCATCTTAAAATTATCGAACGGAAACAGAAATTGGAAAACGTCCTACAGTCTCAAGGGCCCAAAGTGATTCTCGCCTCGGACACTTCCCTCGATTGGGGCCTGAGCAAAGAAGCTCTGCGACATATCGCGAACGGTTCAGACAATTTGGTGATTCTTACCGAGTCATTCGCTGATCTACCACATTCATCAGAGCCAGTTGGGACCGCTAGGGATGGTTTGGGGCGCACGATCTGGGGATGGTATAAAGATCGACAAGACGGTGTAGCCCTTGAAAAGGCAGCCGATGGAGAGCTTCTAGAGCAAGTCCACAGTGGCGGAAGGGAGTTGACGTTTTCCGATGTCCAAAAAACGCCTTTGGACTCTGATGAGCTACAACTTTACCAGCAGTACTTGGCTACTCAGAGGCAGTTGCAAAATACAGCGCAGGGAAGAGGGAAAACAGACCTTGAGAATGCTCCAGATGTGCTAGATGATGCGTCCAGTTCGACTTCGTCCGAGGACACTGAGTCAGAGCAACAAGGCAAAGTTTTGAACTTTTCCACTACCCTTGCGCATTCTAACCGAAGCAAATTGGCGTTGACCGATGCGGACTTGGGTGTAAATATCCTCCTTCGAAAAAGAAATGTGTACGACTATGATGTTCGAGGGAAGAAAGGCAGAGAAAGGATGTTCCCTTACGTCGCCCCGAGAAGGAAAGGTGACCAGTACGGCGACTTTATACGACCCGAGGAATACCTTAGAGCAGAAGAGCGGGAAGAAGCACAAATGCAGGTTCAACGTGGTCCTGATGGGCGGATACATGCAGCTCCGGGACAAAAGCGACGATGGGACGAGATTGGCGCTAAGGACAAACTTGGCCCTAGCAAAAAACAACACCTTCAAAGCGGAGGCAATCAAGAAGCAGACATACCTGTGTCCGGAAGTTTGGACTTGAACGGCGCAGAAGACTCAGAAGTATCGGAAGAAGAAGCTGAAGGTCAAGATGCCTCAGGGCCAACAAAGGCATTGCTCATCCGTTCTACAGTCAGCATGAATGCTCGAATTGCATATGTTGATTTTACGGGTCTTCACGACAAGCGTAGCTTGGAGATGCTAATCCCCCTTATCCAACCGCGCAAATTGATTCTTGTCGGCGGAATGAAAGACGAAACATTAGCCCTTGCTACTGAATGTCGCAGTTTGCTTGCTGCAAACGCTGGCTCGGATGGCACCACATCAAAACCTGGCGTTGACATTTTTACTCCGCAGTTGGGAGATACGGTGGATGCTAGCGTTGACACAAACGCCTGGATGGTCAAACTTAGCCGCGCGCTGGTTAGACGTCTCAAGTGGCAAAATGTCCGGTCGCTGGGCGTTGTGGCTCTTACTGCTCACTTACGAGGCCCCGAAACGGCTATCGAAGCCGAGAAAACCGAAGAATCATCGAACAAGGGAGCCACAGTGCAGAAGAGTGTAGAAAACCAACCATCGGGTGTGGTTGAAAGCCGTGCTAATGAATCTCTGGTCAAAAAAGAAATATATCCGCTCCTTGATGTTTTACCTCCAAATCTTGCTGCCGCTACTAGATCGTTGTCCAAACCGCTTCACGTGGGAGACTTGAGATTAGCCGATCTTCGAAAACTCATGCAGACGTCCGGGCATTCTGCAGAATTTCGGGGGGAAGGCACCTTGCTCATTGACGGATTTGTTGTGGTGAAAAAATCTGGCGCCGGGAGAATTGAGATCGAAGGTTCGGCGCGTGCCCCCCCGGTGAATCCCAGAGCTCCGGGACGCGATGAAGGAACATTCTTAGCAGTGAAACGAAAGATATATGACTGCCTTGCTGTCGTTGCCCGGGGGTAATGAAGCATTCTGCAGAAATATATTACTTCATTGTCACTGACCTGCTGCTGGGCTTAAAAGAATCACATTTCAAAGCATGAATGACGTGGGCCATACTTTCAGATCTATGATGTCTCATGGATTGTATTATTACATGATTCACTTTCACCCGATATCCAACAGGCGGGAGGCACTTCTTGGAGTTAATGGAATTTGCCATTTCACAAGGCATTGTTGCCCTTGTTTGGTGTTTTGAAACAAAGGGGGTCTTGTTGACTTGTTTGAATTTGTATTGTCGTGCCATATCAGGGGTGTACAAATATTCACCACAGTATAGCGGAATTTACAGTCAATGTTTGTGTAGTCACCATTTGGCTACGACTTTCAACGATGGTGCCTTTAGTTAAGGCCTCTTGGGTATATATGCCCTATGCAGACCTCTATCTTTTGCTCTCCTTCTCTTTCCAAGATATATCACAGACTGATATATTCTACTAATTTCGGGCCAACTTCTCAAGGGTTAAACACAACTCAAATTATCGCGTTAGCATCGGCCCAGCCTTCCTTGAAACTGAGAAAATCCACAAAGCGGCTTTTCTTTTTGGTGCCGGTTATTACATTCTAAAAAACAATGGCGGATATGCGGTATTTCAGCATGAATGGAGAAGTTCCATTCGGAGGCATGCCGCCAGTTTACATCATGGCTGCAAGTCAACAGGGCTTACCCCCCGGCACACCCGCTCCTGGTCCGCCGCAACTTATCCCAATATTCCCGCGACCCGATCTTGGCATTATTCCCGGCTGGCAGCCTTGGCAAGAACCGCCTGGAGTCATTCCGCCCCCTTATAGCGCTCCACCTCCTCCGCCGCCACCTGCGCGGCCAGTGGCATCCGCATCATCGTCTGCAGCGCCGCCATTACCTCCCGGCGGAAACATACCCGGTACAAAGCAGCCTCTCGTGACGGCATCAGGCCAAGGCTACATCTTCCCGAAAAACCATACAACGCTCCACATAATCGAATCCAACTTTCCACCATGGGACAAGCCCGGCGGAACATTTTTTTGGCGCTCTGTTCTTGCTCCTCCCACCCTGACACTCAAAGAGCTCATTGAGCAAGTCGCTCCCGAAACCGGACCCAAGGGTGAGAAAGCAACTAGTCGCGGAATAACAGAGTGTCTGGAAAGCGGGGATGGGGTGTGGTTGAAGGCCTCGGAGTTTTGGATCGGGGAGAAGGGCGACAACGATGCAATGAAGAAAAAAGTTGGCCAGGCGTTGGCGAAAGTTGGGTGGGATGAAGGACGGGGAACGACGTCTCGACCTGTTTGGTTGGCTGTGGCTGTTGTTTACTAGTCGATCATTTGTTTGATCTGCGGATATCATTTTGGGATTTAACTACCTTGTGAGAATGGGAGCGGGATCTGGTCAGGTGTTCTCCGTTGCGCGGTTTATTTCATTGATTTATTATTAATATGGGATTGTTTCTTTGGGTTGGCTTTTTCTTCCTGCAAAGACCTTTGAATCATCACGGTCAGTGGCATGGACATGGATGGTGAACCCTTCCCCCTTTTTTTTTTAAAAAAAAAAAATGAAGAAGAGGGCAATCATAGAGTACGGAGTAGGCACAACCATATCAGCAGCTTAATTATAATTGCTAGTATAGATACAAAAACATACTTTATGTGGAACATTGGATATTATTCAATTATCTCTAACCAAATGGCACATTTAACTCCGCAGACGAAGAATGTGGGAAGCATCTCGTGTTTTCGAGGTACGTTTTTTATAAAAAACTGGTATAACGCTTCAATTAGCGGGTATGGTTTCTAAGGTTTGCTTCTTTCAAAAAAATTTCTAAATACCAAATAGATCAAGGGTTATAACCCTGTCCTAGCTCACCGTAAACCCCAGCCTAATTCTTCAACAAAAAGTAGCCATGCAAAAAGCGGACACTCATAGCTCTCTTTTCCAGGAGGATTCTCCCCAACGCCTATCTTTCGCCGATAACACAATCGCTGAACTGTAAGCTTCGTTTCCGGTATCGCAAGTCGTCGATGCAACCATCTGCACCCCAAAAATGCCCCAGCATATCTGATGTAAATGCATGCACCAACCAGGGCGAAAGTAACATCTTAAGTATTAAATTCGAAAGTCAACCGCCTCTGCTGTGAAGTGACGATCATTCAAGCTTCAAAATTATCATAGTAGGCAACCGGATCAATATCTTCCGTAGAAACCTCTTCCAGGAGGTCTTTCGTGCGAGGGCCGGTATATTTCCTGTGTTGAGAATACCACGTTAGCTTCGGGACCCCGACATTGAAAGCACGAAGAATTATACCTCCTAGCCGATACCCACCACCACGACATTGCAAATAGGGCTATAAATGCGGCTACACAAATGGCATAGTTCCTAGAGACAAGTTAGCATTGAGTGTGAACGTCGCTTGAACCTGACATACATATTCTTTGCTGTAATCGGCTTGTGCGGCGGGAAGAATAGCACCACACTAATGAACAGCACCCAGATGATAGCGACAATATTAATAGGAGTACCCCATTTGCCGAGGGTAAATGGGCCTTCAATAAAGCGGACTTTGTTTTTATATATTTGGTGGGCAAGGATAACACCAATGTAAGATAAATCGAGGGCGGGTGCTGTAATGTTAAAGATGGCTGTTGCTGTCTCTGTAGATCCGATCGCGATGAGGTTCAGGCATATGCTGAAGAATACAACGAACCATACAGCATTAACTGGCGTCAGCGTATACTGGTTTACTCGAGCAAAGAATCTATATTCGATTAACACTCTTCAAAAATCCAAACAAAGGCTGAGACAATACTTACTTTGAAAACGGAAGGGCGTCATCACGCGCAAAAGCATATGCCATTCTAGTATCAGCAAGCATCGCAGAGCAACCGGTAAAGAATTGTACTAATATGGCGAAGGAGAACATGATCGTTCCACCAGTCCGACCACCAGCGTTAAGAAATATCTGTGCGGCAGGGAGACCACTTGGTGTGTTTAGAATAGCGTCGAGGTCAGAGAGACAGAAACACATTGTCACGGTTAACATCCAGCCAAAAACACCAGAGACCAGAACTGCTGTTTGAATAGCTACGGGCCCCCGTATAGCGGCGTCATGGGTTTCCTCTGACATACTAAAGACGATGCTGTGAGTACTAGGAAGAGAAGAACCTGGGTTCGAGTGGGATATACTGTGTTGTTCCATCATAGTCCGTCATAGTCCAAGCCACAGATATAAACCCAAGGAGAAATGAGAACCCCTTAGACTGCCATCCGGAGCCGTCCGTCACATGCGTAAACACCCATGTTGCCGATTGCTTGTTCGGGGTAAGGACCAATAGAGCAATGCAAATTCCGATAGAAGCAAGGACTAAATAAACCTTTGAGCCAAACGGCTTGCCAGTATACCTATTGCATGGGCAACGTACTGTTAATTGGAGCAAACCATAGAATGATCCTGTGCAAACTTCTGGTTGTCAGGGAGCAAATCACGCCCATAATGCACAATAGTCCAATGGCTAAAAGCACCGTTTGGAGAGCGGTTCTGGAGACATATTAGCTTCGTGGCGAACATACAAGTCTCCCAATGCCGGCTAGGAGAAAGGATTCTCGAACTTGATAGGTGGGAGATAGCATTTACTCACGGCGTATAGGAATATTTTCCGTCTTGAAAAGTCGAATTCATACTTGCACAAGCCAATAACATCTGGCTTACAGTATACGCCACGCTAGAAACGCCAGCCGTCTGCCCTAACAGGTTGCACCAGCCCTGGATCCACGAAAAGATCGCAACTTGATTTTCCGGCACCACATGTTTTGTCACAAAATACATCCCTCCCGCCGTTGGATACGCTGATACGAGTTCAGCAACAGAGCTTGCAATGCACATCGCCATGACAGATCCTATGAGCCAGCACCAGACAGCCGTGGCGGGCCCACCGGCAGCCAATGGTGGACCAAATGTCGCCGGTACTGATCCTAAAACTCCAAGAATGGAGATGGCGTAAGAAACCGTCGACCATTTTGAGAATTCTCTTTTCATTTCCTAAAAGGACTATTGTTAGAACGTAGCGGCGGTCGAAACGATCAATCGCGGTGAGACTCACCTGCTTGTAGCCGATTCTGGCTAAAAGACGTTCATCGTCGTCCTGAATGGTAGCCATTGTTGGGTCAGTAGTTTGAACGCCTTGCTTCGCACCACCTTTCTCGTTCCCTTCCGCCTCTCGCCCGTTAGACGAGCCCTGAGAAGCTAATGTCAGACTCATGATGAGGTTACCAATTCAATAAGCTGTATGTTGCATTTGCATGTCAGGTAGGCCAGAAGGCGAAGACATCTGGGAATGACAGCAGATAGATGAAGGGAATAACAGGAGATCGTTACACAAAGCGGAGAATATATAACTAGCACTTGAGCTCTCCCATCACGTACCCAAGACTCGTCAAATACGGTCAGCCCCTTCGCCCGTCTGGCGGTGACCGCCCAAGAAATAAGGAAACAGAGCCTAGAAACATTTAGCTTCGAATCAGTGGAGAAAGCTCAACGGCGTAGCGGTTCCAAATTTGGGACTTGACTCTGTTCATGGATGTTGTGCTTGCTTTTGCGTTCTGCGAATGTGGTAGCATCAATCAGCAAGCGGACTGATTTGTGACTTCGGCTCACTCCCATCATCATCCCCTTTTTCAAAAGGTAAATCACAGGATTCAAGGGAGCTAGAGTTAGCGCTAGGCATGGTTGACAATGAACTAGCCTTAGGAAATGCAGCAGTGCAGGATTGTCAGGGTTGCCGGCGACGAGGATAGTCGACTTCTCGGGACTGTGCCCATCACGCCCCGCACAACGGTGGGCAAACGGCCTGAGCATCATCGCGCGAACGCAAGCGATGGTTGGGGCTATTATGATCAGTTGTCGCTGTGGCCAGCTAATTCTCATTGATATTCCGTTTCTTCTGACGGCCGGCTTCCAATGCCAGAGGCTTGACGGGCGCAGAACACGTGGCTGCTCCTCGGCTGTTTCAAAGACGATGTTGATATGTGGAGTTCCGAGTCTTACATCTCGGGAGGAGGCTGGTCAACCACCGCCTATCCTGGCACTCGGCACTTGTTATAAATACGATGTTAGGCATGAATCCTGAGTCCTGACGCGTATCAACTCAACAAGCTTGAGCAGTTGGACGCAGAGCAGCGGCGAATTGTGCCGATCTAACAAGGAAAGGTGTTGGAACTATTCCGCCCAATTTATGAGCCAACTTCACTCGCAAAACGCCGTGCCAGGCCGAGTTCTCGAGGGCTGGGCTTGAGTCCAAGCGCTCAAAATATTCAGCATCCCAGTATTTCGCCAATGCGATTGAATTCGTCAGCCCGTTTGAGGGTCATGCATATACGGTCACAGTTGTTTTGGAGGGTCAGAATTGGCTGTACTTCGCCGTTCAAGCTGTACCGAGTAGCAATGGCCATAGTCCTTGGGCCTCTGGAGCACCCGTTCAACGGTGATCATGGCAAAACGAATCATTTCGGGCTGCGGATGAGAAACCTGCAGGCAAAAGCGAAAGTTGGTTGCAAGGGAAGTCTAATCTCTTGTGAGGAGACTGTGTGGAGAATACTCTGCGAAAGAACATTGGATGGACAATTTTTGAGAAAGACGTTCGATATTTAGTTTTTCGAAGCCGGGGTGTGGATGGATGCAGGCAAAAGCAATATTTCATCACAGTGCATATGATATCGCTTTTCCATCCCGATGGAACGCCGCGAGAATGAAGTGGCCTGGATGGTTAGTTAACTAATGGACTGTCCATGGGATTTTTCTCCAGAGCAGATTTCTTTGCATTCAAGTCCACTTCCAGATACTCAATGAACGGAGCCCCAAGTGGCGGTCAAGGTCACTCAATCTTGTTACTCTTCAGAATTTATTCGAGCCTTGACTAGCAAGCCCTCTGCTCACTGAGTCACTGACATCATGAATGACAGCCACAAATGCATATGCAAACGCACTCGCACTCGCATCGGCTTTAATTGAGCTTGCGGCTTTGCAGGAGCTCTTTATTTGATCGCACGGAACCGACTTCCCCGTTGCCAAACATGAGTCTCACCGTCTCAATCAAAGATGGAAAGTTTGCTCCTGCAGCCAAGCCATTCCGCCCTGTTGAACCCAAAAATTGGCTATCCTGCACAGAACATATTGGCTGCTTCGTCACTACCACGTGTTTTTGAACTTTGAGAGAGTTGACATGGGCTTCAAGCCTTCAACGGCACCCGCAAATCCCGGAAGCCATCCAACAATGTGGACGTAGTGTCTCAAATGCCGACACAACTTGTCAATTACGGCAGGTCGATGCTCGTTCAAACCAAACAGTGCAGTCATCCTGGCTTGGGGAGCTTACAGCAAGCCACTCGAAAACGAACGCGCGAATGAGAGTGTTCCCAACGTGCGCTCTGTTGTCTCTTAACCCAAACGGCCGATAGGAGTTTCAGCCGCGCGGGTGCACAGACAATAGTGCTCTACCTTCTCGTTGGTTCGCTTCAACCGCTTTGGTTTGATCAAGGAAGCCCATATTTGCATGCCGATATTCTTAGCCCTGGGAAATCCTGCGCTAGAAATACCGTCGAAGGGTCAAGTCAAAACTCGCTTCCGTATACCAGCCCGTCCCTCAATGGCCGAACCCAGCAAAAGTTACCTACACGTTCGAGAACCGTATCAAAGGGGATTCTGCACCACTGGAACCGAGCCTCAAAGACACATCATATGAAGGGTATGATAATGATTGCAGGTTCAACCAAGTCGCAATTCCAATAAGCAAAGAGCATCAGAAAAGTGTATGAAGTCAAAAATTGACCCGATTTCGACTGGTCTATTTGACTGACACTTTATTGTCTGCCTAGCCGCCATGGCACGATTGCACTGTGTATAGACTAGCTTTGGCCTAAATTTTGCTTCAATTGTTCCGGCGATGTGTAATTGAATGCTATTGTGCGATGCCGTCAGTTGATAATTCAATTCCCTTGGTTCCGAACTGGGTAGCTATTGCCCCTGTAGCTTTCATCGCACTGCAAAATAGATCATCTTAGATTAGCAAAGCTGCTACACCTAGCAATTGCCCCTGTCTCTAGTATAACTACGAAGACAAAGGCCGAGATAACTGCTAAAAATCAGAATGTTGGAAGCACACAGTGGGATATCAGTAGAGACTGAGAGATGAACCTGAGTTTGCACTGATTGCACCACCATCACGTGCCGTTGTAACTATTGGATTTACGTGGGGCCGAGATCCGGGGAAATGTGGTCAGTTCAGACGAGCGACGGTGCACTGCGATCGACTCCGCGCAGTTTGCAATTGAACCTCTAAAATGCCCGGCAGCAACTAGAAGGCATTTGGGTTTCGGATTGCTGACGGTGCAAGTGCTTCTCGATTATCCCTTCGTGTTTGCATTCAGTTTGCGCGTGAAGCACCATGGCAGACTGGTCTATGTACCATGCGTTGGGTCAGGGTGAGGAAGACCCGAACAACAAAAACGTTAGGACCGACCCTGCCGCACCTCAGTTCGCCCCTCCAGTTGCTCAACAACCTCATGCCTACCCTCAAGGCGTTGCCCCTCCGCCCGGACCGTATGGCGGTGTCCATATGCCACCCCCCCCTTCCGGGCCTCAAACCCCACAGCAGCTCCAAGGCCCAGCGCAGACAAACTTACAGAGTGGTGGAATCGAAGGCCTGACAGGTCAAATGGGAGGATTGGGGCTGTCAGGGGATACAATGGGGAGTATCCGGGGCCATAAGAAGAAACACCGGCATGCGCATCATGATATACTACCGCCGGCGGGCTCCTCGCAGCCGTTTGGGGGCATGCCCCAGGGTCAAATACAAAACCCTTCGCAATACCTTGATACTGGTGTCAACCAACCGCTGCAACCACTGTCTCCAATGACCAGCCCTACGCAAAGAATACCGGGAGTTCAGCCACCTCCAGGAACTGGCGATGGGTCCGTACCTACACATGGCAAAGTCGACCCGACACACATACCTAGCGTCCCAGCCTCGCGCGACATACCTGCACAATACTACGCCAATCACATATACCCGACCATGGAACGTCATCGGCCCCCTCCCGCTACGATTCCGTTTGTTGCTCGCGACCAGGGCAATTCTTCTCCAAAATTTGCGCGGCTCACCTTAAACAACATACCATCTACTGCCGATGCACTCTCGTCCACTTCTCTTCCGTTGGGCATGATCCTACAGCCGCTAGCACCCCTAGATCCAGGCGAACAAACTATCCCTGTGTTAGATTTTGGCGATGTAGGCCCACCACGGTGCCGGAGGTGTCGAACATACATCAACCCCTTTATGGTCTTTAAAGCCGGAGGGAATAAGGTTGTCTGCAACATGTGTACTTTCCCAAATGACGTTTCATCAGAATATTTTGCGCCTCTCGATCCGTCGGGGATACGAGTTGATCGACTGCAGCGACCCGAGTTGATGCTAGGGACGGTTGAATTCACGGTCCCCAAAGAATACTGGAACAAGGAGCCCGTGGGCTTGCGATTATTGTTTGTGCTTGATGTTTCGCAAGAAGCCGTGAATGGGGGTTTTCTAGAGGCATGCTGCGAGGGAATAATGGGAGCACTTTACGGAGGTGAAGAAAATAATGCTGAAGGTGAGGAGGCTGAAACGCCCGGCAAACGGCTTCCAGCAAATGCCAAAGTGGGGATAATCACGTTTGATAAAGAAATGCATTTCTATAACCTCACTGTGAGTTCTTATTCCCGTCACTTTGTAAGGCTCTTTTGGCTTACAATGACATGTAGGCCTCCCTGCAACAAGCTCAAATGATTGTAATGCCCGACTTGGAGGACCCATTCGTCCCGCTAAGCGAAGGGTTGTTCGTGGACCCCCATGAATCCAAGTAAGTATGCGTGGCCGCCCTGCAATCCTAATATTAACCGATCCCTAGGCATGTCATCTGTTCCCTTTTGGCGCAAATTCCTACCTTATTCACCAATATCAAGAATCCTGAACCTGCCCTTTTGCCAACGATAAATGCTGCATTTTCGGCTTTGGAGGCGACAGGTGGTAAAATCATCTGTTCCATAGCCAGCTTACCGACATGGGGTCCTGGCCGTTTAATTATGAGAGAAGATGGCAAAGGTCAAGGTACCGATGCGGAGAAGCGGCTTTTCACAACCGAACATCCCGGCTGGAAAAAGACTGCAACGAAGCTGGCTGAGGGTGGTGTTGGTGTCGATTTCTTCGTCGCTGCCGGCGGAGGTAAATATATGGACATTGCAACCATTGGTAAGTTCTAGAGACTCTAGAGATATCGAGAAATCCAGCTAAGAAAACCAGGCCACGCTGCTGCCGTTTCAGGGGGGGAAACCTTCCTTTATCCGAATTTCCATGCGCCCCGTGATGTGCTGAAGTTATCCAACGAGCTCTCTCATGCTATCAATCGCGAAACTGGATATCACGCCCTACTCAAAATGAGATGTTCAAACGGTCTCCAAGTGTCAGCCTACCATGGCAATTTTCTACAGCATACATTTGGGGGTGACCTTTTAATTGGAACTGTTGATGCCGACAAAGCCTTTGGTATAACCTTTAGCCACGATGGGAAGCTTGATCCAAAAATAGACGCCCACTTCCAGGCTGCCCTCCTCTATACCACGTCTTCGGGCCAGAGACGAGTACGCTGCGTTAACCTGGTCGCAGCCGTTAGTGAAGGTGGAACGGATATAATGAAATCTCTTGACCAAGATGCGATCATTAATATCATGACCAAAGAAGGTGATTTTCTGTTCTCCCTCTACAGTACTTCTGGGCTAATCTTGAGTTATAGCTGCTTCAAAAATGCCGGAAAAGTCATTGAAGGATATCCGTGCGTCGTTGACCGAGAAATCAATTGATATTTTAGCCGGCTATCGGAAACATCATTCCACATCGCAGCCTCCGGGTCAACTTGTTTTGCCCGAGCATTTGAAAGAGTTTCCTATGTATATTCTTGGTTTGATCAAATCACGACCGTTCAAAGGTGCGTAGACATCTTCATTTGCTGCAGACTTCTGTTAATAAAGAAAGAGAGGGAAAATGGGCTTAGTCTTGCAGAGTGATATTTGCTAACTTGGGAACTAGGAGGACATGAGCCGTCGGATCGTCGAGTCCACGATCTACGGATGCTCAGATCGTTCGGGTGTAGGGAATTATCACTCTATCTGTATCCGCGCATGATACCGATCCATAATATGAAACCTGAGGATGGCTTCCCGGACAAGGATGGCCAACTCCAAGTTCCACCTAGCATACGAGCATCATTCTCGCAGATTGAAGAAGGTGGCGCGTACATTGTTGACAACGGGCAGATTTGCCTTCTTTGGATACATGCTCATGTTTCACCTAATCTGCTGGAAGATCTTTTCGGACCGGATAAAGCGACACTACAGTCCCTCGACCCCAGTACATCCTCTCTTCCTGTGCTGGAGTCTCACTTAAACGCCCAAGTTCGAAACCTACTCCAGTACCTATCAGGAGTCCGCGGCTCAAAAGCCAATACGATACAGCTTGCGAGGCAGGGCATCGACGGCGCCGAATATGAATTTGCTCGTTTACTAGTTGAAGACAGAAATAATGAAGCTCAGAACTATGTCGACTGGCTTGTGCATTTGCATCGAGCTATCCAGCTCGAGGTTGGGGGAAATCGGAAAAAGGAAGAGAGCGGCACGGCTGGAGTTGGCGGGATGGAGAGTACTTTGACAGGTCTAGCCGGATTACGCCCGCCATATTGGTGATTTTCAATTATTAGATGCCCTATCTTATATACTCCTCATTTCGAAGCTCAGCAGTCTTAAATCCAAAGCGCTTGTTCCCCTGATACACCACACGCATTCAAGATTGCTCTTTGCATCCGTATATGCTTGGAAGAGCCCTAACGCCCAGAGCCAAAAACTTTCCCTTACTGATGCTCTGAAGAACTCTCTTGTCTTGAATGTAACTTTATCCGTAGGATGCCGTTTTGCGGTCGCCGACTGAGTTCGAGTTTTGTTCTGATTTTTTCTCTTTTTTTTTTTTTTTGACTCCTCACTCCATTTTTGATCAATAATTGCCTTTGGGATGATGGTGAAGGTTGGCCTCTGATATGCTGAGTAACTTGCTCAGTGCAAAACTTCAAAGACGCCACCGGCCAAGACCGGGTGCCGACAATCCGGTCAGCCGAGCTATTCCGCATCCAGCAAGCCCAAGAGATTATGTCAGCCGCCACCACTTCGACTCGACCGTGAACCAGCATCGTCTTGCGATTATCATGCGTGCTGGAACAACGCCTCGAGTAGTGGAGATGCTGCGTACGAGGCCAAGCCCAACCGAAGCCTCGGTCGCCTTCTTCCCCCATTTCCACTCCGCTATGTGGGACTTGAGATGCAAGGTCTATTCCCAGAATCTCGATTGCCAAAAGGCAAGCGCCACTTGATAGTTGGTTGTCAAGGCGGAGACTGTCGCGGTGGAGATGCTGGGATATGCACAAGGGCGCTTGTCGAGACCCGCTATATTTTTATTCCCACTGCTAGCAGACCGCACAGGCCCATTTGTGCCCTGTATCGATGTTCGACGTGAGGGGAACAAATCTATCCGCATGCGGGTTAGGGAGTCTGTACTGCGTTCTTTATGATTGGGAACTATAACTGGTTCCGAAAACATCTTGAGCATTGAAATCAACTCTGCAAGCAAACCTCTCTCCCCGTCTGCATCGGGATACTCGCTGAGAGTTTAGGAAGAAAATTTCTCCTAGCCTTACATCTATTTGCCGCGTTTCTCCCTATCTCATACCCAATACTCTGTTCAATCATTATGGTTTCAACCCACCCCCGACTGGGATGACGTCGGTTAGTCGGTGCCGCGTAACTTTCTGCAGTGGGCGCTTCCTCGGTCTTGGGGCTATTATTAGAGTTCAACGTTGTTTCTCGATGCGTCTAGAGCCATCACAAATGCCGCGGTTAATCGCCCTACGAATTTGGACTCCAGTTCAGGAACCAAGATCTTACCGTTGATGGGCGTTGTGCTCCACCAATGACAGTTCTGGGCAGTCTGGATGCGACTCATGGTTCACGGCCATCGAATTGTCATCTTGCCCGCCACTCAAAGTCTGTTGACGAGAGGGCGAAAGGATAATCAGGATGACCTCCCCTTTTCGGCGCTAGTCTTCCCGACCCTACCTATGAGAGTGGATCCGTCCCTGAGAGCTAGATCGGCCAACGGTCAGGGCTTGTCATCTTGATCCTTGGTTTTGTGGCCTCGAAGATTTTTGTCCCTTGCACGAAAACGGCAACTCTAATGTTCTCCATTTCACTTCCATGGTTCGGATGTGAGATATTTTCCTTTTCCCGGGGATTTGATGCCCGCCGATTGGCTCGAGTTGTCAGGTTTTGCAGGAGGGTAATTCTCGCCGCCGTAAAACCCTACTCCGCCAGTGGCTCCGACTCCAATTGCGGCGGGGAATTTATCTATAAATACCCCCTTCACCCCCTC